GCGAAGATGAGCATTTTCTGCTTATGGTAAGTAGAGATAAGCAATTTGATTGGTTGATGCTTTGGGACATGATAACTTTAGTTCTAATTAAGTGAGAGTGATGAAACTTGGTGTATTTTGATTGGTCAAGACTTTGGAACAAAACAACTCTGCTTCTAACTGGATGTTGATGTTCGTCTTGACCGAATTCAATGATTAACATATCGAGCTAAAGCTAAGCAGAGATAAGCAATTTCCTTGGTCGATGCTTTGGGACCAGATAACTTTGATTCTATCTGATAGAGAGTGATGAAACTTAGTGTATAGTTGATAATCAGTTTGATTGCTTGATGCTATTGAAAAAAATAGATGTGCGATTAATTAATATGTGTCATCTATTTATTTGGGGATTTCGGCGGGGGACATCAGCCTCACTATTGGCTTGTTTAATTTATGTTCGATGTACACTTACATTTTACATTACATATTATGTATTTATACTAATAATCATTTTATTGTAAAGCGCCCTTGAACATTTTATGAAAAGGGCGCTATATAAATCTGTGGTAATAATAATATATAGGCTAGACTTAACTACAACTGAATAATACTAGTGCAAATGTTTTGTATATGTAATATTTATTACACAATTTGATAGATATCAGTTTGATAAGAATTAATAAACCACATATTCTTCAAAAAATAATCTCACTTTCTTAAGTTGATATCATCTCCATTTTTATGCACCTTGTTGGAGTCTTTTAAACCAATATCTATTTGTTCTGCTATGATGATTTTACATAAAGAAATAATGTGTGTATGTCATGTATTTGAGTGACACAGCATGCTTTCACAGAAATTTATGATTTAACAATCCTTATGGGAAGTGTATATACATAAAAACCAAATAAAATATGAGGATCATAAACTCTTATTCTCTTTAATAATGTTTTTGACTACATCATGGTATGTAATTATTATCATTTGAAAGGTTTCTCATTTACTTACAGTTCTGTTTTATTTGTAGTTTATTAGTATAGGTATTGGGATATATAAAAGTCCATAACAATTTTCTGTGAAGTGAACCAGTATTTTATCACATCATTTTGTATTAAGAATTGTCAATGAAAGTGATGAATAGGCTTTGAGATCAAACAAGACATCAGTATGTTTCAGTGGGACTCTTATTCTTATAAAGGGTTATTCTAGGTCAAACTATAAATATCATATCAAAGATCCAGTGTCATAAAGTTAGTACCCACTTCCTTCATACTAGATCCCATAATGGTAGGTACTTAAAGATTTCAGATTGAATATTATTAGATGTTCAAGTACATGTATGGTGGTCCACTTTTAAAATACACATGTTTGCTTATATATATTTGCAAGCATTTCTTGGGTGTGACATGTTTTTCTAAGTTATGTTCAGTATTTAAATTGCATTTCAATTTAAATAGAAAAGTGTTCAGTCATTATAAATTGAATAAAATAAATCCTTTCAATACTGATATCTGAATTTAAGCTGAATGTGAAATTTAATGAAAGCTCTGTGGTATGTGGTAGAACAACTCGTATCTTGACAATTGTCAAGTGTATTGTACTTGTACCATGTTGCTGGTTGGTTTGTGTTTTTTTTATGCAGAGATTAGTTTGATGTTAGTCCCTGTGTAAACTGCAGGTCATGTTTATTTAGATATAAAATCTGTTGATTTAGGATGTTTTCTGCTATCACATTTGACATAATCTGTTTATCTTAATGGCCATGAAATATTTCCCTTATTACATTTAAGCTATCCACTCTCTTGACTTGTGCAGTTAGATTACAGTGTTTGGTAACAACAAGTGAAATCTAGACCCCAGGTCTGAATAGAATTGAAGTTTATGGTACTTGTCGGATCACCTTTTTTAAATCTGTCTAAGCTCTTGGTAATCCCTTCTGACATATTAAAAGCATGTTCTAGAAGATAAAACAACTACAATCATCAATAGGACTGTATATTTCAACCTAAAATCATTGTGATACCTCATCAATTGTATTGCAGTATACAGTATTGTGATATATTGCAAAATCCATTTTCAGCAGAAAAAACATATTTTTTATTAGATCAACCATCAGTTTCAGCACACTGCATGGTGTATGTCCGTTTTCAATAGCCAAGTTGCTTCAGAAAAGTAGGATGTTAAACACCATTAATATTTAAAAACACAACACAATTTATCTGGAAAACAATCACAGGTTTATACACATATAGCACAACTTTTTGACAAGTATTTCTCTTATCGTTTTCAAGCATAAGAGAATACGTGTCGAAAACCTGGGATTATTTTCCATGTAAATTGTGTTGTGTTTTTTAATGTGCTCAATCGCTAAATGCCACTCAAGGATTACCATTCATATTGACAAATGTATAGATAATCCATGCTTTTATAACTGAGATTGTTTCTTTAAGTCTTGGAAGAAGGCCATTCAGGGGCGTAATTGTGGGGAGGGGTGTGTGGTACACTCCTCCAGCGAAAAATAGTCGGTCTCAAAATAAATGTAGTCGGTCGCAAAATAAGTGCAGTCGATCTCAAAATAAGTGCTCACTGAATTAATACAAACAATGCCAAAATAGAAGGAAAAATCCCAAATTTTATGTATTTGCGTGAATCCGTGCACCTAAATTGCATTCGTCACGCTACTCACCCAAAACTTTAGTGTAAAATAACCTTGTCAACTTATCATGTTTGAAAAAATGTTTTTTACCCTTATTCTATTGTGAGTAAAAAATTTCCCTTGGGGAGAAAAATAGTTGGTCGCTAAATAAATGCAGTTGGTCGCAAAATAAGTGCAGTCGATCTCAAAATAAGTGCTCACTGAATTAATACAAACAATGCCAAAATAGAAGGAAAAATCCCAAATTTTATGTATTTGCGTGAATCCGTGCACCTAAATTGCATTCGTCACGCTACTCACCCAAAACTTTAGTGTAAAATAACCTTGTCAACTTATCATGTTTGAAAAAATGTTTTTTACCCTGCATTCACTGCAGTCGGTCTCAAAATTATGCATGGGCGACTGACAAAATGAATTAATGAGGTAAACAAATAATGCCAGAATAGAAGGGAAAAACCTCAAATACTTAATATACGTGCTCCTAAATTTCTTATGTCACATAGTCGGTCTCAAAATAAGTGCTCACTGCAGTCGATCTCAGACTAAATGAATTAATGAGGTAAACAATGCCAAAATAGAAGGGAAAATTTTTTGTGCACGTAAATTGCAACGGTATAGTATAAAATAACCTAGTCAACTTTACATGTTTGAAAAAAAAAATTCCCTGTTATGAGTATGTTGGTATATAAAATTGAGAGAGCTTGTTACGAATATTTTGATAACTTAAATTATATTATTGATTGTCATACGAATAACATTAGCCGAACAGTTGGTAAGAAGTTATCGGAAGCATAGTTTGTTTCAGAAATACGTAAAAAATCTTTAAATTATGAAATGTTAAGGCGATCTATTGAATTTGAGAATTTTTATTTATTGCATATTTAATCCCAGTAGAAATAAAAACGTATTTGACTCATGTTGTAAGTATTTTCTGACCATCAGAATTCTGCAAAACCTTTCCCCAGATCCCAAAGTCCAGTAAATGGCATTTCAGAGACCAAGTAAGCGCCCCCGTGAGACAAAGTCCCCTCAGGCCCAGTCCCAAAAAACTAAAAGCTCAGTTACATAATCTAAATTTTTTACACGCCAACGTCGCTCAATTCTATTGTCATTATTCTTCAACTCCCCTGTCTTATAAATACAATCTCATCACTATCATATTCACAGTTACAGTGAATCACCCAGTTAGTAGTACCACTGAGCAGGGCGACAGACTGTAGAATTGTTATTTCTACTCTCACAATACGGGCGAAATTGATGGACAGGCCTCAAGATTCTGTCCCATTTCTTATCTTCTCGTTAAGGAGAATTTGATCCCATTTGCCATGACATTGACTATAATTTTTCAGGCCCAGTCCCAAAAAATTAAAAGCTCAGTTACATATCTGACATTTTTTCGCTCCTACACCGCTAAATTCCATTATGGCATCATTCTTCCACTTCTCTGTGGTCTTATATTGCCCCAGCACTGTCATATTCACGGTTACAGTGAACTGACCAGTTAGTAGTACCGCTGGTGCGTGAGGCTTCAGACTGCACAAATGTTGTGACAACTCTGGCAAAACAGGCCAATTGACAGGGGCAGATTTCGAGATTCTGTCCCATTGACTCCTATTTCTGGTTCTCTTGTCTTGTTCACAAGAATTTGCTCCCAGCAATGACCTCAAGTGTCAGGATATTGGTTCAATTTTTCAAAATTTTCTCAGGTTGCTCAATGTTAAAGCCACTGTCCCTAAATTTAATTACAAAATCAATAACAATCATCATATTATATGACATAAATTTTATGTCGACTTGAATAAAACTGCTTTCCGACGAGATAACGATCAGCGAACAACTATATAGGCAATACGATCTATGTTCTACCGGGACGCCCAGTGTTATACTAGGTATTTTGATGACTTTCATTGTGGGGTATGATTGTGGATGGTGCCCTAGATTTGGAACCGACCAACCCCACCATCTATTCCCAGCTTCCATATCAGCTACTGGCCCCTAGAAAACTATCATTTGTGGTGATCGGCCCCTGACTGCATCACTCGTATTAAGGACATGTACATCAGTCGGTCGCATTTTTGCTAAACATTCCCCCCCCCCCCCCCAAAACAAAATCTGTATGTACGTACGCCCCTGAGGCCATTCATTTCAGTTTCGTATAAACCAATCACTGTATGGGTGACCTGTGAAATAAACATCGAGATGTAACCAATGGTGATTGGGAATTCTCATTCATGACATATCATAAATAAGTGCAGGCCATAGTAACCACTTGACAAATTGGCACAGTTGGTTTTGGTAACTTTCTGAATTTCTTTTAAACGCATAGTAGATAAAATAATTAAGATATTATTTTTGTATTTTTCAGTCGAGCCATATTGAAGAATCCAGACTTGCTGCCTGAAACTCCACTGATTAACCTATTTTATGATGATTTCTGGGGAACACCTTTAACTCACAGTGGATCACACAAATCCTACAGACCATTATGTGTATTAACATTTCGTTTAAATTATTACCTCGGAAAGCTGGAACCATGGGGTTACCATTTAGGAAATGTGATATTACATTCATTAGTGACAGCAGTTTTTACGTTTTTAGCTAAAAAGTTTTTAAAACATTGGTTTCCGACGTTAGTAGCAGGATGCCTATTTGCTTCACATCCCATTCATACAGAAGCAGTTGCAGGAATTGTTGGAAGGGCTGATGAGGGGGCCTGTTTATTTTTTATTTTGACATTTTTAAATTATATAAAATATACAGAATATCGTGATACCAATGATGAGGGTAAAATGCGGAAGAGATGGTTGTATATGGCAGGTGTTTATATGTTTACTACAGCTGGTATGTTAACTAAAGAACAAGCTATAACAGTTTTAGGCGTATGTCTCAGTTTTGATATGTTTATAGTTCATCGTGTGAAGATAACAGATATCATATCTTTAAAAATTTTAAAATTGGTAAGTAGTTGAACTTTTACATCAGAATCTATAAGGTTTACATGTATATCAAAATGATGGATAGCCTGCATGTACTTCATGAACGATACCTTACATTATATTGTATGCATCCATTTTTCATGCCCTGTATTCTGTGTATGATTGGGCAATCAGCAGTTCATCATCTAACTGTCATTAGATCATCATATGAAAAAAGAAATTGACTAGGCACATGTACATTAGCCAATCCAATTATCAATAGTCATCAGAGCTAACAGTAATTATTGCAGTGTTTAGATCAGAGAGACGAAAATGGCTAGATGTGGATCGTATTTCACTCATTTCTCCTACTTCTTCAAATGTAGGGCCAGGTAAATACTCTGTTTACCTTGGACAACTTAGATGCTGTGAGAGTATGTTCCTAAAACAAACAAGCTTGATGATTTTAATCAGTTTCTGATAATTGCATACTGAGTTATGAACACTGAACGTGTTAGATTTTTTGTGGAGTTATCACACGATTGACTTAAATTTATAAACAATGTTTATAACATGTCCATCACATGAAGAAGCCTATTGATTTGTACACAATGTTTATATCCATGTGATGAAGAAGACCATTGATTAAACTGAAAATAACATAGCTGCTATGTGCTTTGTTGCCTGGCAAACTATCTTTTATGATTTCAAAGCATTTCATTGCAACAATTACATGTAATAACATCTCTTAAAGCACAAAAGATCACATTTTTAAATTAAAATGAGTTGAGACTGGTGTGAGTAAACATTCAGTCCACATTTTATTAGTAAAGAAATCTATGCGAATAATTAATGTGATTCTGTTGATAAATTAATTATCAGATGATCTTTTTGACCTTCTGAACAAAATTCATCAAGATAAGTTAATGATGTTATAATATGATTCACAATGATGTGAGTAGCATGCAGACATAACAGTATTAATAATTGATAGGAAATACTGAAAATATGACAGGTCCGATAATGTTTGTATGGTTGTCATGCTTTGTCGATGACATTGGATTACTACTCAATGAATATTTTACATTATTAAGTTAACATTTTTCCTTATTAGTTGGATTCAGCATACTGTTTGGGAGGATTTCTTGGACCATGTTAATCTCTTTAAAATGTAAATATTTTTAAAAATTGTCTACATACACACCTCTTGTAACTTCTTTGGAGAGATTACTTATGTTAACCATTATTTGCAAGAGGTGCTTTAAATTTCATAAATTCATGTTCTGTCTGCTATTCATGAATTTAAGAATTATAATCCAGAATTCCATCTTTCTAACATTTATTTTGGATGCTACTTAAAAGATATCTAAAATGATGTGTTCTTTTTATAGTGAGTTTTATATCTTGTTAAAACAATAGAGAAATTTCTTCAAATGTTATATCTCATATCATATAGCAAACTTTATTCTCTCTATCAATATTGATTATACATGCAGTAACCTCTATTTTTGAGCTAAAATGGAATTTGATTGATGTTAAGATAGGACTTAATTTCTTTTTATGTAGCTAAACCATTCAGAATATTAATTTGATTCTGTTGTTCCTAAATACGTTCTGATTAGAACGCATGCAACTAAATTCAATGAAGATTAAGTTTTGATGATGACTAAACAATATAGCAAATTTTCTGTTCTTGTTTGAATGTGTAAATTGAGAAATGAAGTATATGTATGTTATGTAGACTGATTGCATAAAATGTGTGTTTTAGCTATTTATAATACAGTGTGAACTAACAATAAACATGAACCATGATGTAATGGTAAAATCATTATAAACTGTTAATAATAATCTATTAGGTGTCAACATACTAAATACAATATGAGCTAATATAACAATAAAATTTCACATCTTTCACCAGTTTCTGGTTATCTGAACCCAAAATCTGGGTGCAAATCTGCCATTATTTAGTGATGGACTTGTTTATGCAATCCTTAAATTACATCTACATGAATAATAAGATTAATATTCTATTGTTAAAGGAAATGGTCCACCAATTTCTATATTCTACTAACCATGACAGCTACTAGAATCAACTTTTGAAAACTTTCTAGACATCTCTGTTTGAAAGCTACACTATTGTTTTGGGGACATCACAGGCAGAATCAGAACTAGCAACTGTCAATTATAAGGAGTAGGAAACATCACTAATAGTTTATTTCTCAACACAAAATATGCTCGTAATTAAATGTGACTGATTTATTGATATAAGTGACAATTTTTAGTTTGGGGATGCCATTTTGAAAGATTGTTAGTATTGATGATGTCCCTAACACATTCTTTAAGTAACAACGCTTGAACAAGGGAATCTAGAATATTTCTGAAAGTTGATTTGAGTAGCTGCCATTGTTATCTATTGTTTGTTAGAATATAAACAGATGGGCTGTTTCCTTTAAAGTCTTTAAAAGTCATCTTGACTGTTTTCCATTGGGGCATACAAATAAACTGTATTATTTATAGTCTGTCAGTTAAGTAATAAATTATGTTTAAACTGAAAATATGGATAAGAAAGATCTTAATTTAATTTTTTCTTATTGATATGGCAATATTTGAAATACATGTATCATTTTAGTATTTTACTTTGCCTAATGTCCACTGTTTTCTATTAAACGAACTTGAAGAAAATACCTCCAAGTCTTATGTTTTTGTTAGGGAGAGGGCAGTGACAGTAGTTGTGGATATACACTTTCCTCTCTCTTTAGAAATCTTACATGTATATACAATCGGAGATCGTCAATTTGAATCCCGATGTATGTACTGTTTTCACAAATGTCTCTGGTCTAGAGATTCAAATGGGATAAAGAATTATTTTACACACTCTAAAAGATTCATTGACATTAGGAATATAAGAAAAAACCCATGGGTGGAAATATCTGAGAATGACAAGACATCAAACTCTTGGCCATTCCTAATAATTTCAGTGTTATAAGGAATTCTCTTTAATATCACATGTTAAGACATGATGCATACATAATTAAAGGTCATTGAAACTATCTTGGCATAAAAGATTAATATTGACACACCTAAATGTGAACATTCTACTGAAAATACAACTGTTCAGTATTTTAACAGCAGTTAATTGAGTTAATATGTAAGGTATCATTATGTAAAATAATATTTATGTTCCTGTTCATAATCATTTAAATTGAAATTAGATATAGTATATCATATACAGATTTATTAAAACTATACAATTTTCATTAAAATTGTATTCCTCCAGGCATATCAAATCAAAAAAAAAGTTCTATTGTATAAGTCTTATAAAACTTTCAGTGTGAGCATGGTTGTTTTATGGTTCATCTATGGTCTGGATGGACTATTAAATGACAGAATGTAATTAGGCCTATTTCTCCTGCTCTGACGGATCATCTAAAATAATTATAGAGAGAAGATCAAACCCAAGTTATGGGTGTGGAAATTGCCAGTCTGAGCCCTATTCACTATCCATGCTTAATTGGGTATCACCTCTGGAGAATCATGTATTAGCCTTCAATTACATCATTTATAGCCTATTCATAAATCAAAGGTGGGACCAACTGGTAGTATAAAGCTTTTAGAAACACGGATAGTTATCTACACTTTACATACAACACCAACTTATTGGCCCTTTATAGATCTGGATCTCACATCTACACATAAAGATTTATTGTAAGGTTAGAAGCTTACTCAATTATACAGGAAAAGATATAAATGACAGTGCACTGTAAATGCTTGATTAAACAAGATTTAACTATACAGCCATTAATTGATCTATTTTTTTGATAATCATATAAAATATCCAAGAGCAAATTAAAAACAGAACAAACAATATAAAAATATTACACAGACCATTATAGATCAGTGCCCCTTTTCAGATAAGTCATAAAAAATGATTTAGAAAGCTATACCGGTAGTTTATAAAAGGGTTGTAGAATTCTTACTTAATAATGACACCGAAAGTAAAAAGATGAACATTTTTGGGAAACAAAAGTTAGACAGAGCCAGGTAGAAAGGATTAATATTTAAGAGATACATGTACATAATAATGTCCTTGACAAGATGCAAGTACAAATAATGAAGTGTAATATTGAAATAGGTGCATTGTAGGACGTTTATACAAACTCAGTCATTTCCTTTCTTTACTTTCTTTTAAAGAAATTGACATATTGAGGATTCTAGAAAAAAGATAACACCTTTTTTATACATAAATTATGCATGAAAATAATAAATGTTTTGAGTATATTCTGATGAAACGGACACCTGTTCTATATAGAAGATTTTTATATGTAACATATTCTACAAGATACATTACACTGAAAGAATAAATTTAATTACAAATACAATACATTGAAATATTGTAGACAAATATTTTAAAGAACCTGTTGAACCCAAAATGTCTGGGATGTTAATTTGCCATTCTTTACTTAGGCCAAGTTGAACTGGTGTGATTTTATAAACCAATTTTTGTCTTCGAATTATCATCAGAGATATTCAAACTGCAGAATAGTAATAACATCTGTAGAAAACAATCAGTTGTTGGTCAATGAAGCGGCATAACTGGATGCAAGACAATTTGATTATCTGATTTGCTCAATTGTAAAATTGCAATGATGACTTGCTTGTCCCAAAAGCAGTAAATCCTCTGATGAATTTGCAAACTGTTATGAAATTTTGTTATTTTATGCAAGTTATTAACAACAGCTTTGATATAGTGGTTTATTGTCAAATTACTGTTATGCTATGTTTTTTTATGTGATATACATTGTACTGAAGCGGGTGTTTAATATCACAAAATTCATTTAGTTTATATTTTATTGATCATTATTGCTTTAATGTTTTGTACTGATAAGATTGGATGTCCTATAATAATAAAACATGTGATAAACATTTTTCTCTTATATATGAAATATTTATTTGATACTGTTTCATATGTTTCACACATATATTTGTAGAAATTCAATATATGAAATACTTGCTCATAGACAAATGAAAAAGAGGTTTCCCTGGATTTCCTTATGTAGAATTTTCAGTTATGTCAAATATGATTGTTTTCTTCGTCTATTAATAATTGAATGATTTTTGTGTATTTTCAGTCTCGTTTATTAGAAGGTGGTGTGTTATTGACAGTGTATGGTGTTATATTAGTTATATTACGTATATATTTTATGGGAAATAAACCTCCAGAGTTTGCACCGTCGGATAATCCAGCTTCCGATTCCAGTAGTATTCTGACACGAACTCTGACTTACAATCTGCTACCAGCTTATAATGTATGGATATTAATATGTCCTAGAGTGCTGAGTTTTGATTGGTCAATGGAATCGATACCTCTAGTGCAAACAGTGACAGATCCTCGTAATATGTGGACAATACTTCTATATTCCTTGCTATTATACATAGCATATAAAATATTGAAAGATTTACATAAAAATACTACTTCAGCTATTCCCATCCCTAAGCCTCATACCAATGGTAATGGCGTCGGACATCATTCATCCTCAAGTACAAAATTAAATAATTCTAATAAAATCCGTTTAAAACGTCGTGGTTCAAACAGTTCCACTGATAGTTATGAAGATGTACCTGTTTTAACTCACTCGCTAACAAGTGTAGATATTTTGATCATTTCCTTATCGATTATAATTTTCCCATTCATTCCTGCATCCAACACATTTTTCTATGTTGGGTTTGTGATAGCTGAAAGAATATTATACATTCCTAGTATGGGCTTTTGTTTACTAGTGGCTCATGGATCCTTTATATTGTATAAAAAGTGCTCCCAACACTGGCAGAAGACATTAATGGTTGTCTCCCTTATATCAACTGTGATTTTGTTTAGTAGTAAAACATTCCTACGTAACCAGGACTGGCAGACAGAAGAGAGATTATATAAATCTGGTATCGCTGTTAATCCACCTAAAGGTAAGCATATATTTATATAATAGCTATCTTTTTAGTTTTGAATACATTGAACTGAAATGAATAGTTATTTTATACTCTGACATTATTATAGACCACTGTCATGATATATATATACTATGTGTTATTGGATGTCTTATGTACATAATTTATATACTAAAGTTACAATATCCCTGCTTGTATGTGACAAGGAGGAACGTCACCTGTCCAACCTCATGGGTTTTCTCCGGGTCCTCTGGTTTCGTCCCACTGCTAAAGACCCCTATGTGGAAGCAAATTATTGAAATAAAATTGAACCATATGTTAGTCCCAAAATAACCTTATTTGTGTCGAGTGGATGTTTCACTTTGTAGAATATGGTGAACAAAATATATTATTTGGTCTGCAGGAACTTTATATACATGTACATTATTCAAAAATTTTGAAATGAAGAAGTATTTTGAATTTCAACAATTTCCGTCAAATACGACTCAAGTTATGGCCCTTTTTTCATTTTATGGAATCTTGTGAATACTGTTAATGAGTTAAATCCTTTATTTATTTTGTAGAAAGCAAAAGTCATCATATTTTGGCTGAATAGATAACTTTCAAACATGCATAATACTAAATTTTGATTTAGTTTGTACATAATGTAATAATAATGTTCATTTTCTACAGCATGGGGTAATCTGGCTAATATCTGGAATGGCCAGAGAAAATCAGCAGAAGCAGAAGATGCATATAGAAATGCCTTAAAATATAGAGGAAATATGGCTGATGTTCATTATAATCTGTAAGTAGATGTATTCTGTATTAGATATATTTCTGTTGATGATAAATCGGTAATTATTCAACCATCACAGCAAGTTGGTAGATTTTGTCATTCAAATTGATCCTCAGTATATTTTGACTCAGTCACTACTATCATCACTGAGGGGGATGAAATAGGTAAAGTTAATCAAAGCAGATTGATTTTGTTTTTACCTGTGTTAACCTACATTCATTTTATCAGTTGTTTTAAATAAAAGTAGCTAAATAGTGATGTTATTATAACATGCTCAATAAAACAAATTGAGACCAGACCTCGAGTTCAAGCCATCCGTCAAAGTGTTTGAAAAAAAGGTAAATGCATTTTTAAAAATGCTTAGTTACCATTTTGATTAAGTTGTCTTTTTAATAGTATATTTTGAATTGTTTTCTACAGCGGTATTTTACTTCAAGAACAGAAAAGATATGATGAAGCTATAGATAGCTATAACAAAGCTAAACATTTTAGACCAAAATTATCTAGTAAGTACTACAACAAACATGGTTATTTCTTTATTTTGCATTCATACATGTATATATATATATATGTATATTTATAATTGTACTAAGCATAAATTCTAAGTACTTGTTTCCACCACAAAAAAATTTGTGAAGACTAAAGGGGGATAACTGAAACCTTGAAGACTGAAGAGAGATAATTTGACAATTTATGTATTTTTTTTTCTAGTGGCTTATCTAAATTTGGGTATCATTTTATCACAGTTAGGACAAAGTGATGAAGCAGAAAAGGTAAATATGTATTCTTCATTTTCATTTAAGATTATCAATACTGTAATAGTGTTTTTGATGCAATAAGGATTCAGTAGTTATATTTTTTATGTTTATATTATGTGTTGATTTAAGATGTTTTGTAAATTATTATGGTATATTGTATTGTAAGATGTATTGTAAATTATTATTGTGTATTGTATTTTACAGATTTATAAAATTTGTGCTGATTTAGATACATCTGGTTTAAAAGATCCTAGGTTACATGAGGGAACCAAGATATCATGTTTATATAACTTGGGTAGATTATATACAGAACAAGAAAAACTGAAGGTAATCAAATATTGAGTGGTCTAACACATGCGCTTTAGATCATAAGGTCTGTCATTGAACCAAGAGGCATGGTTTCAATACCAAGCTTGTATATGTCAAGTAGTAGGGTTGTCTGCCCAATCTCGTGGTTTTCTCCAGGTACTTTTCACAAAGTGAGTTGTTGTAGGATTAAAACTGTATGTGTGAGTCCTGACTAGACCTGGTTTGGTTCGAGTGGACCTTAAACCCAATCTGTCTCTCTCTCTCTCTCTCTATAAAATTCACAAAATAATAAACAATGGTTTCACTCTAGTACTTTTATTACTTTATGTAGATCATTAAACCTGTTCTTCACTATTTGTTATTTTCTATACAGACACAGCCATATTTAATCCTCTTTTAATAGCAGTCTTTATATTTTATATGACAGGAAGCTGTAGATACATATCATGAAGCTTTAAAAAGAAGACCAAATCATTATGCACCACAAAGTTTGTACAATATGTTAGGTAAATATTTAATATTGTCAATTAAACAAAGAAAGAAAATGATTTATATTCATCACTTATATAAGTTATGCATACAGTTTTTTTCTTTTCTTTAAAATGTATAAGTTTTTATATGCTAATATTGAAATGTAGTTGTATGTTGTTGTTGGTCCAGCGTTCACAATTGCTCTAGAGGATAAAGCTAATATCTGATTGATTTCTGATAATTACTGAAAGAGTTATGGCCCTTGATCACTTTGAACAGACTTGTGGATGTTATAGAGGCTAAAGTTAATATCTGATTGATTTTAAATTTATACACAGTGTTAAGGTCATGAAACGAATAACCCTATTGATTGTTAATGATTTCCGATAATTACTTCCAAAGTCATGGCTTTTGATATCAAATGTTTTGTATACTAAAGGTTAGTATATATAGGGCAGAACTAGAAGCCAAACAAATTCTAATGATTTCTGATAATTGGCTAATGGATTGTTACTCGTAATCAGATTTTAGTGTGTTGTAAATGGTTTCATTACTGACAAAAAGAAAAATATGTGACAACCCTTTTTGACTGCCCGGACGACTTCGCTTCTGTGGGAGTATGTATCATTGCCTGGCAACCTGTCTTTAATGATATTTATAGATTCTTATTTTTGTGTTATAAAGGTGAAGCCTATGTCAAAATGAATCTGTTAGATGAAGGAGCTAAATGGTTTAATGAAGCACTGAAAGCTAAACCTGATCACATTCCCGCTCATTTAACCATGGGAAAACTTCTACAAAAGAAGGTAAATTTTAAAACATTATTATTGAGTGTGACAGTATGGACATTTTTAAATTTGTTGTTTTTGAAGTATAATTTCTTAAAGTTTCAATTTCATATTTTTACGTTATATTTTTAAAATTTATTAAAATAAAGCCTTAAAATAGATGGTATCTATAAACAGTCCTACCTTGTTAAAGAATAGTCCTATTAATCCTATAATTCACTATTGCCAGTTGAGAAATTGGCAAAAATATCATTTTCCTCTTCAAATTCAAACGTTTGAAAATCGCTACTGCATGGTGGAGAATAGACAACAAGGGAGGTAATTGGGAGGTAATCGTGTTATTATTTCCGGTGTAAATGAGTTTTAAGTGTGAGAATGACACCTATGATCGTATAATAATGAGTTGACAACCTATTGAGCAAAAGACATAGAAATTATTATGTTTTGACTTTCTTAGAAAATATGAAATTGTAACTTTAATACTCATATTTCAGAAACAAATCAGTGAAGCTGAACAATGGTTTGAAAAAGCCTTAAAGATAGATGAAAATGATGTTTCTGTTTTACATCACTATGGTAACTATATATATATATAAGTCACAGAAGATAAGTTAATATCAAAACATAAATATTGTATTAAGATTGACTGATCATTAGTATACTTTCGAATCCCAAAAAAGGTTTCTGCTGTCAGAGCAAAATGTTAAATCATGTTTTGCTTGGATTTGTCATGTTTGCTTTCATAATTATGATTGTCAAAGTAAGAATGACACATTAATCTCAGTTGTCAGTGTTTTGTCAGTTATCCACTAATCATCATAGAATTATACCTATAAGATAGTTCATTTTATTAATGAACATTAGTTGTAAAGTAAAACTGTAGAATCATAATCTTTTCACATAATTTTAGTTATATATTAGTGTGTAAATTTATTGTCTTACAGCTCAGTTTTTAGTTGAAATCGGTAAAGATAAAGAATCTGCTGTTATGTATAGAAAAGCTATAAGTAAAAGTACAGATGATTTTGAACTTCTCTTCAATGCTGCTAATGTCTTTAGGTATTTATTTATGTTATTCCTTATCAAATTTTTTAATAAAAGATTAAATCTATTAGAGAGAAAATGTTCAGACTTAAAATTTGTTGTCTCTTTGACTGCAAAGTCACAAAAAATTCCATTGCTTCTACACTAAGTACCTGGGACTGTATTTCCAACTTGTTTTCTGCTGGCAAATCTTTGTTGTAAAGATCTGGAAACACAATTAAATGATATAAAAGTGACACAAACTGTCCTACATTGTTACTTTCTTGGTTTATCTCCAATATTCTACTTTATGGTGCCATTCGTACGAAGTGATGGTTGTGGGCAAAGAACCGTACTGTGGACACAGTTGGAAATCTGACAGCTCATGTTCAAAGGGTTAATACTGAATATGCTGTTGTTATAGCCATACTTGTTTCTTCATTTAGTCTTGATAATTCATAATATATGAATGCCACTAACAATTTTTGCCTTTTAAGAATTTGCCATTTCTTATTTATGAAATCTTAATGTATATTACCATAATGTAAGTATTATCATGATTTCAGACAAATTGGAAATAATTTAGATGCTGAAGAAATGTATAGAAAAGCAGTCAAAATAAAACCAAATGTAAGTAGAAAATATTTTGTGAACTCTGAACACATAAGTGTCAAATTTTCCACAAAAATGTCTATGCCACATTCTGTGTAAGGCACTGGCTCACTAACCAAGAGGTCCGGGGTTCGATCCTGGTGTTCGCTCAGAAAGTTCCCTAGGATTTTACATCATGGTTCCCCTTGTCAATGGTGCAAAATGGAGGGCCATCAAGGATGGTGTCTAGTCGTTCGGATGGGACGCAAAACTGAGTCACATGTACACATTGTATGTAAAATAAGCCTTGACAATTGGAATTCTAAATAAGAGTAGGCTGTAGCGCCACTGACCGGGAAAAATTTCCTTCGTAGCCCACTGTATGGATTATAACCGTCTTCATTTCTTTGAAAACTGTAGTGAAGTGACACATTTGATATGGTAAAGAGCTTTGACTCTTGTTTTATGATTATTGTATTAAGCTATATTGATAAAGACATATTTGTTATTATAGGTGCCTACAGCTCATATGAATCTAGGTGCAATGTTACATACTAATGAAAAGTTCCAGGAAGCTGAGTTAAGTTATCTTGAAGCACTACGGTTGAAACCAGATGATGCTTTAACCAAAACTAACTTACAGAAATTAAGGAATAGAATGAACCAGAAAGGTACTGCAAGTACTATAGACCAGCAATAGGTTTATTATATTATTATTATTATTATTATATTGTTATTGTTAAATTATGTTGTTGCCATATTAAGTTTTATAGCTATTATTTTTATTAATGAGAACTTGGAATCAACTGTATCATTTTGACTGGGTTGGGTGTAGGCCTATTTGTAATGTTGTACTGTGCTGTGTATGTATAATTTGTTGTTGGTGTATGTGACAAACTTTTTTATAATTTAATAATATAATTATTAGTTAATTTTAGAACAAATTGAAATATAATAAAACAAAAGAAATTCTCTGTTCTCAGTTAAGTTATTTTCTAAAATTTTAAATTTGATCGAATCTAAAATGGATGTTTAATAGATAATATATAATACTGGTATATCTTCCTTCAGAATCAATTAAAAATTGACATGATGGATTGTTAACAGACTGAATCTCATTGAAGTATGTTTTGTTTTTAGATTTATTCTGGTATTTTATAGTGCTCTTTTCAAACTAGATAGATACTGATTATTGTCATTTTTGTTATTAAATTTAACAAAACTAATTTTAAGGTACAGGGTTAGATTTGTATTGTTAGGGTGTAACTACTAAATTTTGTGAGCCTAATTTTTGTTCATTTTTGTTAAGCTAATGTCCCGACCAACATTTTTAGCCTTAAACACAAAGGGTGTTTGTCAAAATTGTCTTTCTAAACCCTTTTCAAATTCCTGCACAAACAAGGTTGTTTTAGTCCCAATAGACATTTTAAAAATTAAAACAAATTGGCTGCAAATGTTCTAAGACTTTTGCATGCACAGACTCTGCAGCTTTCCCAATGAAACTCATCATCTTAATTATTGCAACCCCTGTCTTTTACCTATTATTAAAGTTGTGAATCTTAACGACCATAAGTTTTCTGTGATATTAATCATGCCTATTATATTTGTATTAAGCAAACCTGTCCATCATTAAAGGACTCTGATTATACTTTTATATTTGATATAGACAATAACATATTACAATATTTTAATCCTGTATATACATTATTCAGTCTTATGATTACTTACAAAAATACAAGTTTAGAAATATTTATTAGGTATATTAATTCATATATAATATATGTCTCATATATTATTATAATGTTTAACCTCATAAATATGTAGGTTACTAAGAATCTACATATACATAGTGCATTATTTACAGAATTTGATTTTTAGATGAAATCCGTGTGTAGGACTTGCTTACTGTAATGTGGATGCCCCACATTAAAAAAAAAAATCTTCAAAAAAATTTGATAATTATTAATTTATTATATGTAAATTTAGGCCAATGTTGTTTAACTGTAATAGTGGATTTTACATTATAATTATCTATTCAGTTACATTTTTAGATGATATTGTACATATAGAGTGTGGTGGCCTTGATCTCACTTTGATAATTTTAAACATTGTTACCGGTTACTTACATCTAAATCATATATGGTTTGCAATTATTGTTTAAAGATTAGCCGATGTTTTTATTGTAGTTTTAGCATTAAATGCACCTATTTTAAAATTTGAATTTATATAGAGAGATATTTACAAATGTATTGCAACAGGTTAAAAGTTGATCAAATTATTTGGGGAGCTGAAAATTATGAGATGTCCTGTTCCATTTTTCAAAATAATCCCCAGTTGAATTTGTTTTGTTGAAAGATTAGATATCAAACTAAAAGTTGACACTAATTTTGAACATAAATTTGAATGAGGCCTTATAAATTCTCCCTTCAGACTTGTTGAAATCTAGTGAGTGCTTATAAATTGACTCTTGATTTTAATATACATGTTTTAAATACTAATATATATATATATGATACATCTCTGTGCAGGGAATCTCACAAAACACATATATTTTAATATATTTCTAAGAATAATATATTTCACTCTTTATTTGCTATTAAACCCAATGAACAAATTCGGTTTATATACAGGGTCACTGTACATTATAAAATATGAGTTTAGTGGATGTCTTTGAAAATACATCTTTTTAAAATTTCTTTCATCCAGCAAGTATTTCATTATGCATAATCATAATGTAGTATTTAAAATTTCTATGCATATTAAAATAAATCCCAATGTTTACTTTCTTTATTTGATAAGTAATACATTTAACAGTATTATAGATATTGTTTTCAGTATATAGCTGCATAATATGTATGTCGTGTTAAATGTTGACTTGCTTACAGACAAATATGAATATGTATTTCAAAGTTTCCACTTTTTGCTGCACTCCAGTTTCTGCTTTCATGGTTATTATTTTTGACAAAATTTCCTTAAATGAAAATGAATTTAATGTTCCAAGTCCCAATATCCCCAGAACAGTGAATCTGAAAATAGATACTGATTATCATATTCTAATAAATAGTTTGGGAGATGCATTGTTTTTAATTTTGGGATTGTTTAGTAAATTATATTTTTGTATTATATCATGCTTCAATTATACAGAACAATGTCAAAACTAAAACATCAAAATGAAGCATTGGAAATTAGTCAAATGTTAGAGGTTCTCATTTAATTAAATAATTGTGAATACCAGTATTTAAGTTCTATAAAAAAAAATGTATAAATAACATTGGTATGTACTACTGCGATATCACCTTCGGTGGAAGCGGACGTTAAACGCTAAGAACAACTACTGGGTCTTTAAAAATTTCAAATATTTATACATGATTTATTATAAAGTAGTTGTCAGATTTCATATTCATTAGCTTACAGATAAATATAACCATTCCTCTTTCACTTCATTAAAATAATTTAATTTTCAATATAAGAATGTAGAAAGCTAATTTGATTTATATATATATATACTGTTAAGCTTTTGTTTTGTTGGTTCATTGCTTCATAAATACATATTAAATATGACCATTAAATTCACTGTTAAAACTTAACTCTTTTTGTTTTAAATTATTGTGAACAGGGAAGAAATTGGTTGAATTTATACATTAAAGCCACAAAACAAGTGGTTGCCATGCAAGATATGCCCACATTTTGCAAGAGATGGACAGAGAACAAGCTAAACAAAAGAAAATTTCTAGTACAATCAAGGGCCATAATCTAGAAAGTTATGGTCTGATATGCACAAGTATTGTCACAATAAAAATTGTGACCTCCAGACGGTCCACAACCTTGGTATTATATATACTTTTACACTATTTGTGTAAGTGAAGCGGCCATTTTGTCGGGCAATTTGAGTCCGATTTTAATGTTATGGTGTAACAGTGATGTATTCAAAAAATTTTTTTAAATCAGATAAAAATTATGACCTCTGGAGTGTCCACAAGCTAAAAAAAATGATTTTCATACAATTGTGGGCCATAATCCATGAAGTTACTGTCCGATACATGACAATATCGAAAGGAACAGAGATCTTTGGGAGATATTTCAAGTTTTGTCAAAATTGGATAAAAATTGATTTCCGCCACAGGGATGACAATATACGTCAACATGAAAATATGGGCTTATAAAAACTGTATGTTAATTTACTTTCACTTGGGAACATTTGAAAGTATGCATTTTATCAAATATTTATCATGTTCTGGAACATCAAAAAATCAACTCAGTTTTAAAACCATTAAACATACATTATGCAAGAGCTAAATCTAATTATTGCAAGTCTTTATTTAGGCTTCAGATGTCATAGAAATTATAAATTAGATCTTTATTTACACAACACGCACAAAATCAACTCTGTAGACCCACGGATGGCTTGGATTCGAACAGGATTTCATTGATTGATTAAATTTTTAAATGGCGTCGTGGGCGGAGATTAACCGTTACGTTGACGCCATACTCCTGGAAATTTTAGATCAAGGCTAAATGATAGAATGTACGAAGCGAGGCCGCATGTCAGTCAATTTCTGAATTTGATTGAAACTTAAAAGTTCGATATATACGGCCTTGATATTATATTTAGTTGTGGTTAAAATGAGAGTTTGAATGTCGGTATTATACGCTCTTTTGTCACTTGGAAATTGATAAACATCGCAGCTAATATCACCCCAGTTGAATTTCAGCCCCATTGGATCACTGTTTCCTAGTATTTGTCTGCTTCGGGAGTTACGTAGACCTACCAGTTACACAGAGTACACAAGTCGGCTATAATTATGCCTCATTGATTTTGGTCCATTCCTTTCAAACTTTTGCTTCTTATCTATATATTAAAAGTCTTATTTTTAATTTGTAGTAAAAATAAATATGATACGAATTGAATTGCAACCCTGTCTCAAACCGAAGAGGCTAACGGGACCACAGTCATTGAAAATGTTACTTGATAATCGAAATTATGTATTTGGAGTTAACGCCTGTCAATCAAACGACTGTCAAAAATTACAATGGTGATAACTTTGTTCAGAATAAAGTAATTTGACTGAAATTTTCAAAATATTCTTTCATCATCTATTTTTAAAATGTTATAGCAAGAATGGCCAACTCTCTATTAAAATCTCCCATAATGTATCTTTAATAATCTTCATGCAGAACACACAGATATTCTGTCAATCCTTCTATTTGGGTCTAGGCTAGGGACATGGATTTAACTGGGTAACATGAATAAAACAACTATATCTATTTGGACATCATTTATATATCTTCTTTCAATGAATATTGATACAAAAATACATCAGTCACATAGTAACAATAACAATCAAAGTTCAGAATGTAGACAACACTCCTTTATCATGATTTTTTTTTTTCTTTGTTATTAACAGCTGACATTATTTTTTTTTTATTCCACTGGGTACATTATTTTGTCTTATTTCAATTGCACAAATTTATCTCGTAATATATTCCATTATAGCATATTTGTTTATGAAATCCTCCTCCTCAACTACCCGTGTGAAGACGCATTAATCTTTTTATTCTTCTCAAAACAGCTTCAGTAAATCCAAAGTGAGTTCTACTTTTAATGTAAACCTGTAAATATAATAAACAGATTCATGAATACTCTTAACACCACATACTTTCGTGTGCATAATATACATTTAGATATTTTATGTGGGGAAGGAATACTAAATAATAATCTGCTTCTACTTCAATGATCAGACACTTTCAGCAGGAAAATAAATAGTCTATTTAATACAATACTAGCTTAGTTATCGTGTGTTGCAAGAGAGAGTGTCTTACATGTAGTGTCTTATATAATCTGCAAGACACTAAAGAGTTTCCCCTAAAGGCAATGGGCCAGTTCCCTGTGTTTTTTTGTGACAAGACACAATTTCATATCACTGAATTCAGAATCTTCCGGACTCACAATTGAGAAGCCCCCTGATTGCTGAAAACAATTAAATCACCTTTTTACTGACCAGTGAAGATCTCCCAAGCAGAAGCCTTTCTAAACTTTGGTCAAGGTATTTTCTAAAAGATGTGAAATACCGGTACCCCAAAACAATCACAAACTTACTTGATTTATTTCTTGTATCTTTTTAAACAAGGATTCATTTACATGACTTGGTGCCGTTTGTTTTAATAGATCTATTTCCTCTTTAGTTACGCCCTGCATGGATTCTTCTAGTACTGATCTATTTAAGCCAGAATCTTCTAATACAGATGATGCTCCTGTTATATCTGTACATTGGATTAACATTATGTAATATTATATAATGTATCTATAGAGCACCTGCACTCTAGTAAATATTACTGCTCTGTGTTGCCATAATCAAATCAAATGAAACTTTTGTCACCATAAGGTGGGTTGTAAAAATCTTGTGGAAAGTGGAACCTAAATGAACTACGATTGATAAGGAATTGTGGTCTGTAGGTGACACACAAAAAGAAAATGGGTGTGGCTCTGCCCCTGGGGGTTGGGCATGCACTACAAACAATAGGGATGTTCCTCAGGGTTCAAGATGATACGTTAAGAAATGCAGTCTGTAGACAAACAAATACAAGAAATTGGTGAGGCTCTGCCCCTTGGGGTCGGGCATGCACCAAAAACAATAGGAACCATCCTTAGGGTATAAGGAATAAGTATGTAAAGTTGCAAAATGATCACTTAAGAATTGCGGCCTGTAGGCGACACACAGACAGGGGTGACGGCAATATACATACGTCCACAGTCCACATTATGACTGTGGACGTATAATAAAACTAAAACAAGAGAACAGTATTTTACCTTGTAACCGCCTTATTTGGTGTTGTCGTTTGATGTGTGATTGATAGGCCAATGGTTGTTGATTGACAGGTACACAATGTAATAAATAATATTCTAGATGTCTCCATATAATAAACAGACAATTTTCTATTATAACTGAACACTTGGTTAGGGAAAACAAATATTCAGGGAAAACAAAGATATTCAACTATTTCTGATATAAACACTATAATCTTAATATAACTCAGTCCAATATCTTTTTAAATCTGTTCACTCAGGATTAAGGAATAGAGTATTGACAAGTTTGATCTTTGATTACAAAGTACTGTTCATGAGTATTATTTGGTCTTGACATCTATTCAAAATGTCAAGAGCTAATCTGATCTACATTTAAATCTTTATATTCAATAAAATATAAATAATGTCAAAATGTTCTGGAATTAAGATAACTGATTCTTTCTAGTGTAACTACCTAAATATGGTTATTAACATAGACTATAAAGGATACAGGCTAGATGTTGTAATTCTTTAGTTTTAACTCTAACAATCTGCTGTAGTCGTTTTTTGGCTAAGAGTTGTCTTTGCTGCGATGACATCTTTTCAGTGCTACCAACAGTTGAAAACTAAAGAAACAAATTGTAATATATAAATTATAAACCTGAACATTAGATTTACATCTACACAAGGGATGGCTGTTTTTGTCGGCTTTAGCCACTAGAAGTTCAATCAAGTCGATTGGTAAAACAATGAACCGGTCACTATCGTATCATAAACCAATTTACTTTCGGCTAAATTACAATGGGTTAATTATTACTTGTTAATTAAGTAGTCAATCAACTTGCTTGTCGGCTACGATAAAAGTCATACCTTAGTGAGAATCGGCCATATGGTTCATAATCCAAGTATTTAGCATGAGTAACAGTAATTTTGATAATCCAGTAAAAATAACAAAGAAGCTTGCTGATTATTCATAACAGGTTCAGTAAGGAAATAAGCCACATGGCAATCGAAGGAAGAAGATCTCGACATGGATTGTGCATCTATTGCCCACCTTCGATGCTCCATATGAATTCCAGGTGTACCGGTAGATATTTAAATAATAATTGGATCGTAACTTAATGGCTTCACTGACCAACTGAATATAATTCTTGGGTAGAACACCAAATACACTTTGAAACAGTCATTAATAATATATTATGAATATCTAATTTTAAAGCCATTTCAATTATGGTTGTCGCGTGATCACTGTGCCGTGTGTCTATAATGGACGAATGAATAAAAACATTTGCAAGTTACTTGATAGAAAAGAACCCTACAAATTGTGTTATAAAGAAATACCATGGTGCCGTATCAGCTTATATCCATCGAAAAAAACAAATACAGTAATTGATTCAGGAATATTACTGACATGAATTTCAAGCCAGTACGTGAATTAAATATTTGTTGTTGTAATTTTGTGGTAATTACATACAGTAGAATACGATATTCTCCATAACAAATTACCAAGAATTATTTTTGTTGAAGTCTGGTAATATTAAAGGGAATGGAAGCTTAAAATTTTAAAACCGAGACCAGGACCTCATTTTACCCAATTCTGGTCGGTTGGTTTCAAAATGGATTAAGAACCCTGATCTACATATCCAATTATAGTAGTAATGTTACTTCCAGATTTCCATTTTTAAAAATAGAGAAGATGTATAGATTGGCCATCACCCATAATTGCTATTTAAGCATGGAACACATTATGAGGTGATAATGCTCGTTCCCATTACTTGAGGAATATGAAGTAATCAAAGAAAATAAATTAACCAAATACTGATAACACAAAATACAGTAAATAAATGTTATTACCTCTTTTAAATCATCTGTACTAAGGTCTGAGAGACTAGCTAGTTTTTGTTCATGTTGTCTATGACTATCAAACACAGTCATAAACTGATTAGTACTCTGTTTTAACTGATATATTATAATTCCAAGATTAGGTGTCTGTGTTGTTGATAAACTTGTTACTGAATAATCTACGAAATATAAAACATTGATAAAATCATTATAAAATTATGCCCCATGCTGTAGAAAGTTGTGAATTTATTTCCAAATCATTATCACTTGAAAAAAAATTGAGTTATAGATGTTGAGTTTTTTTTTCTAAAATTCATCCCTGATAAAACCGAATATATATTAATTGGGTCAAATAAGTAGTCAAAATTAAATTGTGATTCAGCTTCTTTCAAAGTCATCTGATCGTAATATTGGTACCGGTACCATTTTCGATAAAAATATGGAATGTCAAGTTAATAATGTTTGTAAAGATTGATATTGTAACATTAACAAGATAGGTAAGATTCAGAAATTTATAAGTTTAGCTACTACCAAAGACACTTGTTAATGTTTTAATCAGCTCACACTCTTTCTTAAATATTTACTTTTGAAATCTTCCATTGTTTTTTTAAATCTTCCATTATTTTTGAAATCTTCAATTACATGACAATAACTTCAAAACATGTAATGTTATACAGCTAAGGTTAAAGGTTAAAGACGCTCGAAGTGGTTGAAATACTTATAAATGATTCCGACTCGGATTATATTGATAACACCGATTCTGGAGATGATATTTCTCATGAAAAGGACTTAGAATGATTTGCAAATTATAGATCAACTTACCCCCTTTAACTTTTTTATTGATGTCAAGAGTCTATCACTTATAATTATTCGACAGTAGTCGATTGAAATAGGCATACAAAATATTTCACAGGAGCCTTTATTTAGCCTGACCACGTGACGTCATGACGTCGACCGGTTAAGGGTTAACTGTTGGTCAACATTCTTTGACTATTCACTCCCCTCTTTTAATAATGGAGGGTTGGATGGCCGAATGGTTAGCACATGCGCTGTATCATACAGCCTGTCATTGTGTCAACTGGCGGAATTTCGATTCCCCGGTAGTGCGTGACAAGTAGGGTCGCCTGTCCAACCTCGTGGGTTTTCTTCGGGTCCTCCAGTTTCCTCCCACTGCTAAAGACCCCTACGTGGAAGCAAATTATTATATTGAAATAAAATTGAACTATGTGTTGGTCCCGAAATGACCTAGTTTGTGTGAAGTGGACATTAAACCCCATTTCTTTCTCTCTCTCTCTTTTTTAATAATAAATACATCAAATCATCTACAAATAATTAAAACCCAAAATAAATAATGTTGTGTAGAAGGTTTAGTAATCTTACCATCAAGTGTTTGTAAATCTCTAGCACCAGCTTCATCTAAACATGGTCCAAACAATATTCTACTATACTGACTACTGGTAGCTGTTCAAAATAAATCATTATATATTTAACATTCATGGTCACAAATAAAACAGCAATAAAATATAATAAACAGTGTTAAATTTCAATTGATATTTTGCAGATTAAATTAGTAGAGATTGTCACTATGATCTCAATATTTACAGGATTCAATTAGTAGATTTACAATATAATTCTGATATCTACTGAATTAAGATAGGATATTTACCCGATTCAGTTAGCAAAGATTTACAATACGATATCCATATTTATGGGATTCAGTTAGTAGAGATTTACAATATAATGCTGATATTTACTGAATTACAATATTTACCTGATTCAGTAAGTAGAGATTTACAATAAGATATTAGATTAGCTGAGATTTCTTGGAAAGCCAAAATAATACCAGCTTGTACATCAATATTGCCTTGATGTTGTGTTTGGTCCATATTACGTAACTGTTTACTAAATTTCTCTGAGAAACAATAGCGTGGTAGAAGTGACAGCATCTGTCTTTGAATTCTTGCTCTGTGACCTTTAAATTCTATAATAGCTGTTTCACTATCCAAGTATTCTGAACCTAGGTCAGCTGAAAAAGGTATCAAATATGCCACATGCAGTCTCAATTATATGACTTTGAAAAAATATATTTTAATGATGTTTAACTGATCTTATAAAGTTCTGAAGAACACTACAGAATAAACAAGCCAACAGTGAGGCTGATTTCCCCGCCGAAATCCTGAAATAAATAGATGACACATATCAATTAATCGCACATTTATTTTTTTCAAAAGTATCAAGCAATCAAACTATACACCAAGTTTCATCACTCTCTATCAGATAGAATCAAAGTTATCTTGTCCCAAAGCATCGACCAATAAAATTTCTTAGCTCTGCTTAGCTTTAGCTCGAAATGTTAATCATTGAACTCAGTCAAGACATTCACCAACTGAACATCTACATCAAGTTTAAACATTCTACCTTAATTAAAATCAGAGTTATGTTCAAAGTCTTGACTTATCAAATTGCTTATCGCTCCTTAGCCTAAGCAGAAAATTCTCATCATCGAACTTAGTCAAGGTAATGATATAATAAATCTATACTTGGAGTTCCATCACTCTCACTTAATTAAAACTAAAGTTATCGTGCCTCAAAGCATCAACCAATCAGATTGCTTATCTCTGTTTACCATAAGCAGACAATGTTTATCATCGAACTCCATCAAGCATTCACCTAATGAACACCTACACCAAGTTTGAACATTCTACCTCAATTAGAAGGAGAGTTATTGTGTTTCAAAGTATCGACCAATCAAATTGCTTATCGCTCAGCTTACCCAGAGCAGAAAATGCTCACTATCGAACATAGTCAAGGTAATGATGTGATAAAACTATACACCAAGTGTCCTCACTCTCACTTAATTAGAACTAATGTTATCGTGTCCCAAAGCATCAATCAATTAAATTGCTTATCACAGCTTACACTAAGCAGAAAATTCTTATCTTCAAACTCAAGGCATTCACCTAATAAACACCTACGCCAAGTGTGAACATTCTAGTCAAGGTATTGATGTAATGAAACTATACACCAAGTTTCATCACTCTCACTCAATTAGTACTAAAGTTCTCGTGTCCCAAAGCATCAACCAATCAAATTGCTTATCTCTGCTTACCCCAAGCAGAAAATGCTCATCTTCGAACTCTATCAAGGCATTGACCTAATTAACACCTACACCAAGTTAGAACATTCTAGCTCAATTAGAATGAGAGTTATTGTGTCCCAAATAGTGTAACGGACAGACAGACGAGCCCATTTTAATAGTCCCCTGCTTTCTTCGAAAGGAGGGGGAGCAAAAAAAATCTTTGAATTCGGTTATTTTAAATGAGCATACTCCAAACACAAAATAATTCAAGATTTCATTTCCATAACAAAAGACAACAGCACCAGGCAGTGAAAAAACTAAAAGGTTTTTTTTTCATTCTCTTTATTTGGCTCGTCACTAAACTCATCTTAAACATACATTATGCAAGAGCTAAATCTGTCTATTGCAGGTCTTTCTTTAGGCCTGAAATGTTATCTAAATTATTAATTAGACATAAATTAATCTATCCAGACCATAATCAAGTCTGCGATCTTCAGTGGATTATGAGATTTATGACAACTTTCCTTCACGATTTACGATTAAATGGATAATCGAGACTATGCTGTTTATCGTACTGACTTTAGTAATGATGATCGAGGCTAGGCGGAAATTTCAAACGCTTAGTTCTCGGTTCATAGTTGATCAATTTGAATGAAATTTTCAGCAAATTGCCTTTACATTATCTAGTTTTTAACTATCATAGTGAAAACTGCCAACTCGTTATCGAATCTCCCATAATGTATCTTTAATTAAGAAAACTGTGTTTTGGGTCTGTGACATAAACATAATAGTGCCTTTGATTTTCTATAGACAGTGCAGGTTTCTTATTTAATCTTGGGACAGTGCTTGAATATTCTGTTTAAATTTCTAAAGCACAAAAGACATACATGACTATAAGCCGACATCCTACTTTAGCTCTTGAGCTGGTATATTGAAAACCCTATTGAAGGAATGTATTGGACCCAAACAGACAGAAACATATGTATACTTTTAATAAGACTGCAGCACCAAAATGTAGAACAGAAACAGGATTTAAATTCCTAAAAATAATACTTACTATGATAGTTGGCTCTAGATATTAGAGATGTAGTGAGAGCTAATTCTCTTAATGCAGCTAAACTTAAACTAGGTCCTCGGTCACGTAATATGGTAGTAAATACTTCATTGTGTGTAACAACAAATAACATAACTTGAGCAGCTATATCTTTACTTTCTACACCAACAGATGTTAATACAGCTAGACATAGTTTAATAGCTGATGATAGTAATATACGATATCTAACTAATGGATTTGGTATAAACTCATCATCACATCTCTCTGTACTCCCCGCATTTACAGTTCTAAAACAAATATATAATAATGTATTATTAAATGGATCATATCTTAAATTTTCTTGGAAATCTATATTGTGGCAGGTAGCCATCCCAGATCTATCTCATAAAGCTACTAGTTTTGTTCTTTTGTGCACTCGTCTGGCTTAAGGGAGATTGTGTGTGGATGTTCCCTTTATTAAGTGTTGGAGAACGGAGTACAGTAGAAGTCTCAGGTGGTCCCTCATTCTATACTTCTGTTTTAAAATTCTCTTGTCTAAATAAATTACCGACATACCTGTCACTGTCAGGTCGTAGGTCAAAAAATGAACAGGCTGATAATTTCTGCATGATTCCACATCTAATTAATATATGAGCACCAGCAGTTGTTTCTCCAAATCTAGTCAATAAACTCTGGAACAAAACAACAAACCATATCATTGAAGAGAGAGAGAGAGAGAGAGAGTTTAACCTCCACTCTACTAGGTCATTTCGGGATTAACATGTGCTTTAATTTTATTTCAATAATTCACTTATGCGTATGGGTCTTTAGCAGTGGGAGGAAACTGGAGGACCCCGAGAAAACCCAACAGGTTGAACAGGCGACCCTACTCCTTTTCACGTACAACCGGGGAATTGAAACCATGCCAGTTGACTCAATGACAGACCTCATGATACAGCATGCACATGCTAACCATTCGGCCATCCAACACCCCCTCATTGAAAATAATATTCAGATAGTTTTTAATATCAAACATGGTGAAAATTGTTGAATTTCAAAAATAACTATCTGAAAAAATATTGAGTTAAATGCAAAAATAAATTGAGCAAACCTTACCATTTTTGACTGATAAATATAGAGAACACGTATTTGGTCTGGATTAGGTCGAAGTATTTTCTGTAATTCTACATCATCTTGTAATAAACTATCTATTAAATGTTGCAGATAACCTTTTCCACTTAGATAGGTTAACCATTGTTGATATACATCAGTTGATACAATCATATCTAATACAGATAGAGCTAGCATCTATAATATAAAGTTAATATCTGTAATATATACACTTTTTTTTTATGATCAGTAGTGGAATACCGCGTTTTATCAGTGAAATAAAAGTGTTATTCCACTGGCTAAAGTAGTCTATGTTGTTTTTACCTAAAATGATTGTAAAATCATAAAATAAATAGAACATTTGTCGTTTTGTCGTGAATAACATATTTTATTTCATCTCTAAGCAAGAAAACGTTTATATTTTCACTCATGCTATGCATTCGTGAAAATATAAGTTTTCTTGCTTCTCGATGAAATAAAATATGTTATTCACTCTAAAACGACAAATATCCTCTATATATCTAATACAGATAGAGCCAATTAGATTCTTATTGAAAGGTAACACATTATAGTTTAATATAAAATATAACCTACCCTTCCTATATCATGTCCATCACAAGCATCTTTACATACAACATCCATTAAATTATCACCATATGCCATTATAGTAGACAAATTCTCTTTTGATAACTGTTCATATTCTGTATCTGATGATCCTAATACACGACTAACTGTTCTATTATCATCTATAATATAAATCAAATACCTTAGCTGCATGCAGTCAACATTAGAAAGATATTTATATATTACACACTATTGTTTGTAAGATATAATGCCAACTTGTCTTGATTCTTACTTCTATATAAATAGTATATGTACAGCTTTGATAAAAGACACGATGTGGCAGAAGTAGATGATTTAAACCAAATAGGTAGGTTAGATACTATTTTAACTTTGATATTTGTAGATTTATTCAGGTATTGAAAGTTGAATAAAATGTAATAAAGATGGTGGTGTGAAATCAATAGAAAGTAATGTTAACTTTGGATGATTTCAATAAATTTTTAACCAATGTTGTTATAATAAAGTCTATATTTGCTGCTTAATATTGAATATTGGGACATTGATTACCTGTACACAATGAAAAGCTTATCAACCAATAGCAATGCCCGCATGGTATTGGAAAGATGATGACCAGCTACTATATGCAAAACAATTACAAGCTCCCTAACAAGAAATATATAATTTTACCTTTGACTTGCAATGTTTCAGGTTTTTGTGCTATTTGAAGATAATACAGTAAAGCCCCATACAGATTTGCTCTTACTCTCTGAGATCCAGCACCTAAAATAATAATAGAAAATTCTTGGGAATACTTGGTCCAATTTTCTGAAAATGAATTCTCAAATTCACTTAAGACTACAATCGAGTAAACTTGAGGGCAACAGTGTTTATACTACCTAAATACAATAATATCCCCATCCTCCACCAATCATCATCACCGTAACAAATTCCCTTTGCTTGATTATGTTTTGATTCTACTCACAATACAGACATAACTCAATTGCACATGACTTGATTGAGATTCTGTCATTACCAATATAGAATTTACAAATTTAGTATTACAGTTTACAACGAGCCAAGAGAAAATTGATAAATCAGGTGAATAGATTAAAAATATCAACACCTACTAGTTTTTAAAATATAGTCAATAAGTCCCTTCAATACTATTTGTAAAGATGTTGCAAATAAAGTTCTAGATCCAGCTGACTGACTCCATGTTGACCGAGTTAATCTGATGCCTGGTGCATCACCAGCTCCAGCCCCAGTATTATCATACTGTCCAGTAGCGTGTGTTACTCTCTCTGATTGGCTGACATCAGATATAAAACACTGAAGGAGATTGGCCATCAGAGTGAGCACGACACCAGCAACAGGGGCAGTTAATTCAGGTAGAGAATCATCTGTAGCTACCTGAAATATTTAGAACATTTTTGAAATCAAACAATCAAAGGACACGTTTAATTGCTTAATATCTGAATCTGGATTTATTTTTTGCATTAAATATTTTTAGCTTTAGAATTCTTTTACCTTTTTGATTTTTAAACCTTGTACTTTATATTCATATAGTCAACAAGAGATGGGATTTCAAATTCCACTCAAGATAATGGAGAGAAAGTTCAACTTACTTTTAACAGAAGATCTTGTAATAATTCAAAAATAACTGTTTGTCTAGTTTCACCATTTAATACATCTTCAGGACATGCTGTTAATAGTACTTCTGCTACTTGACGCCATGCTTCAAATGACTGTCTTTTGGTATAAAGACTTCCACGAACTTTATTTCTCAATACCACTGTACCTAATATTTGTTGGATTTCCTGCAAATAATGAAATTGTTTAATGTTTATCCCTGTATCACAAGGTTCATACATACCCCAATGCTTTTGTTACACATATATGGCACAAAATTTCGACAAATGTCACTCAATGTTTACATACCTTGATTGATCTTCAAACATTTATCAACACACATAATATTTCTAGATCCAGACCCGAGAGAGAGATAAAACTTATGTTTAACATCTAGTCAACACAGGCATGTCATTTTAGGACTAACATATGGCAGACTGTTTTTTTATTATTATTTCAATTTCAGCCACAGGTTATTTAGATAGGTTTTCTTCTTCAATATAATACAGGAATCGATGTCATTCTAAAATATAACAAGCTTTCTGAGAGTACAGCTGAAGTTATCTGAAATTGATCTGTAATCAACTCACAAAAGCACCATGAAAAGAAGTCTGGTAAACTGAATCTGGAATGGGACAGTGTTAGGGGAACACAGAAAGTTAAATATTTAATATACAGTAAACATACCCCCATGATTAAAGGTCTCTGTCCAGCCATTAAACTACCTTGTTGATTGTTAAGCTCTGACATCAATATACGATGTAAAGTTCGTACTTCACAATATATGACATCATTTTCTGTTTTACTCTCACAATTAGATATAACTTGTTCAATTAGTTTAGGATCAAAGAAATCAAGCTGAAGTTGTTCTGGATAATCTTGATTAAAACTAACTGAATCTAGCAAACACAATAACTTTCTCCTTGTTCTTTTACCTAAAATAAAATGAATTACATGTAACTTCAATTCAAAATATTGTATATGTGACCAGCTCTGTCGCAGACCCCTTATTTCAGATACGGCCCAAAATATGCGAAATTGGCATTTGTGAGTTTCCAGCATACTCGTATTTGCTTTCAAAGAGGACTTATTTTTTATTTTCTTAACACCTAAAAGCAAAAGGTTATCAGAAATTCACAGAATTCACTGTTTTTGGATGCTATGGTGTTTTGTTATATTTGTGTTAATAACTTTCAATTGGATTTTTCAGAAAATTTAGTTTTAGTGTATGCCATCTTCAAAGTTTAATATCACAGACTTTGTATTTTTGGTAAGTGCAGATGCCAATTCAAATATCTTAGAATATAGAATTTAAATTTATTGTCATCAGAGCTGGTCCCATATCAAATCAACATTTTGAGAATTCCAGCATGTTTTCATTTGGTTTTCTTGATTTATAGCACTAGGCTAGAACTTGATGACTTAAGAATGTTAATGTATTGACATTTTAATAAAAACTGTGTAGGGGATATGACTAGACAATATACCTGAAGAAGCTATAGTTTTATTTTGTGTAGCTGCACCACTTATAAACATAGAAGATTCTCTATCCCAACCTGATACATCTGTTTCATCAGTTACACCAGCCTGTATAGCTGTAATAATATAATATACATCAGTTACACCAGCATGTATAGCTGTAATAATTAATAATATCATTTGCTTAAAACCATAACAAATGGTGTGAATTTCACTTATCAAAGTAGACCAAGTCTTGTCTGGCAGACAGAATTCACTCAAAACATTTCTACCAACGGCAAAACATTAAAGACACATGATTACTTTGGAGATCTTCACCGGTCAGTATAAAATATTTTTTTTGATTTGACTATAAAGTGCTTGGATTTTGAATAAACTTGGTTAGTCTAAGGTTCTTCTGAACATGAAGATGAAGAATGAAGTTTGAAATCACTAATTCATTTCATTAAAATGATAAATAACACCGATTTATAATACACAAATCAAAGAATATGAGCTTATACAAACCAAAATTTGGTGCTTCATCTGAGTCATCCAGTAATAAATGTAATAATCTTTGTGTATGTGAACGTTGTCTATTCAAAGATGTTAGTCTTAACTCTATAGCCACAGTCTTCAACAACCAGGACTGTGGACCAACACAATTGGATGCTAGAAACATATGTTAGATAAATCATGGTTTTAGTAACATTAAATGAAATATAATATGAAATGATAGTTGATTATTTTAAAGAGAGAGAGAGAAATGGGGTTTAAGTGTTTAACAACACAGACTAGGCCATATATGGTACAGTTTTTTATTTCAATATTTCAACAGTCTTTAGCAGTGGGAGGAAATCAGAGGACCCGGAGAAAACCATGGGGGTTGGACAGGTGACCCTTGTCACGTACAAGCTTGGGATCGAAACCACTCCACAGTATCGATAAGATATTTCTTAACTACTTTTACAGCACATCTCTGATTTTAAGTAAGTAATATTTTATTCATTTTACAAATTCCTAACAATAATTATTTTCCAAAACTACACCTACCTCGTTCATCTGTTTTAAATGGTAAATGTTGTAATTGTCTATACAAGAAATCATGAGCTGTTCGTAGATAACGTAATATAGGAGAAGTTGTATCTTTATTAGCACATAGTATATATATCAGATGATAACATAATTCAGCTAGACGTGGTGTTTGTGTTAAACATGTTGGACCATTACGTGAACCAACACCATCATTTAGTAATGTTAATATAGAGTGAAGACATGTTTTAGGTGAACCTAGTATGCCTGTAATACAAAATATAATTAATAATATATTTAACATATTTTATAGATATTTTTAAAATTTATCAAATTTCTTTCTTATTTCAATATTCAGTGAATTTTTTTTTCAAAGTTCAAAGACGGTGACTATGCAAATTTAGTCACCCGCAGCTTATAAAATTTTATTAGGTTGAGTCTGTGATGTTGACATATCTTACATTCTGAAGTTCGTTATTCTATCTGCATCATTAATTAAAATTACACAGCATAAACATTCTCTAATTATTCTAAAATGAGAGCCTCTCAAATTAAGAAATGAAACGAAACAGTGTTTTATGGTTTGTCAATATGGTATTCTTTATGAGATCACGTCAATCGAAGCTATAAAATGTGAATCCTACCTGGATCTTGTAAGTTTGTTTTTGTAACAGGTTTACGTAGTTCAAATCCCAGCAACCAATGTGCCAGATTAGGTGCAGATTGTTCCATAGCATATAACATCAACTGTATTATGTGTTGTCTTGTAGCATTCTTTATATGAGCTGTTGAAAACTCTTCTTCTGTAATTAAATACACATAAAACTAATATACTGACCACCTAAACATTTTTTGGGTAAGCTGACAAGAAGAAAAACTAAATTTTTTAAACAGAATTACCACTACAAGTAGGGACACTGATCTCTAAAATTGATCAATCCTAACAAAGTTGTGGCCATTAGTTTCTACGAATTTTATACCACTATCATTACTTGTTAGTATTCATATATAAGAAATAATAATTCTGAAATATATGTAGGTTCTTTTTGAACTTTAGTGTTTGTACACCTATATTAAATGTAAAAATTACAATTACTTTCTCTTTTTTATCATGTAATTAATTATCATTACATTGAAAGTTATTAATTAATTACCATTACCCATTACTTTAAAACTATATGAATAACAATCATTTATTACAGGTATTACAAACGTAATGTTATTTTATTAAACCAGGTTCAAAATAATCTTTGATTCACAATAACAGGTTTTTTTGCCTTGATGTGATGATTCATATAGAAAAAACCCTGTAAATATTCAGGTGAGGGGCAACAAAAGAATTTATGAGATATATATTAAAAGCAGATAAATAGTGCCCTGAAAAAATCTGCTAGTATAATTATAGTAAGTTGGGTTTCATTTGTTTTTTTTTCTCTAAAGATGGTATTTGTTTTGATTGTATGTTACAGGGGTGAGGATAAGGGTTTGTACTTAACAGAAATGTATTTATCGTCGGTGGGGAGTCAAAAGGTCGTATCAGGATTTTATGAAATTGTCAAGGAGAGCCAAAACTAGCCCAGAGGTTAAGAATCAAAATGTCTTACAAAACCGTCACATCAAAATGTTGTATGTAAAATGTCGTATTTCTGAAGCTTTTCTCAAATATTTATTTACAAAATGAATGTGTAGCCATTTAAACAGTATGTAACGATCCGCACATATCAAGCTCAACATCTAGTGCAGAAATAAGGAGTGAAAGCTAGTTATTTGCAATTTTATACAGCAAAGACGTATCTCAGGAAAATATTCAGCTTTCCCTGCTTCAATTTCATAGATTTCACACAGTAGAGTCTCAACAATAATTTCAAAAATACGTATTTAACCATAAAACAATACTGGCCATATTTCGTTTGATTGTAATGCTTTGGTTAGACACAAAGTTGATTTTTTCAAGAAAATACGACATTTTCACTCTTTATATTTATTTTTTTTGGAACATCCCATATATGACATTTTGAAACAGTATCTATAAAACCTCTTTTTATTGGCTTAGAAAAAGGAATACCAGATGAAAAGATGCGCATGAAAATTCTCATTCTGAAGAAGCAAAAAAGTGAATTTTGCAAAATATGCCAGATACGACCTTTTAACTCCCCACCGACATTAAATTCATTTTTTTCCATATTTATTTAATTATCAGTTGTTTTTTATATTTCTGTATATACATACATACATATATATAATTCTTGGCTTTACCAAACCAATAATTATTTTTTATTCTTACCTGGTGTTATAGCATGTATATCATGTTTATTATTTAATATAGGTTCTATTTCATCACACTCTAAACATTCTACAAAACCCTGCATTAAACCTCCATTTACATTCTACAAAATACAATAAATATAAACATAATTAAATTCTACAAAATACAATAAATGCTGTGGCCTACCATAGATACATTTACATGTTACGTTTAACAACAAGTGATACCACTATCAGAATTTTATCCTTAATACTAATAAACACACAGCAAAAACATGTTAAATCACTCTGAATGTTCTGTATCTTAGGTCACTGCAAGACTTTTCACATCTAAAATAAATTTCTTACCTCATCTACAGTAAATAGATTAACTAGTTCTGTTTGTATAGGAGCTGATCTACATGCTAGATATAATATCCTAGATGCTGAAAAAGCTTGTTCTGGTAATAACGTATTAAACATTACAAATCTGAAATAAATATTTATATGACAGTGAATAATAACATGTTTGATAGGTTTCCTGGCAACAGAACTTATACTGCCACAGCCACTAAGTTGTCCAAGCAGGCCATAAATGTTGGAACAATTTTACTCTTTTGTAGATAACAAGGATTTCCAATGAGGATGTATAAAGTAATAATAGTAAACAACATTGAAGCTGTAAAATTATTTGCAACGGTTTTAAATCACAGCAAACAATGAAGCACTTTATGATTTAATAAGATGGTCAAAATCCATGGTCTGGGTCAAGAATAAAAGTGTTGATTTTAATGGATTTGATGTGTTAATTTGTTTTATGGAATGACAATCTTTGTTCAACAATTCAGTTCTATAAAGCCCACGTTGAGACTATAAAGCCCACGTTGAGATATAACTTACTGTGTCATTCACCATATTTAAAACGAAAATTTAGTAGTATAGAGCTTGATTCTATATAGACTAGTTCTGGTATTCCATGACTACAGTCTATATTAAATATTACTGAACTTACTTGGCTATATTAACTAAATGATTAGCTGTTCTACTTCTAGGATTAATACTAAGTAATAATTTATCCATGGTAGCTATCATAACAGGAGATCCAGATTCACGTATCATAGTTTCAAATTTTTCTTCTTTTTCTAATGCCAGTTCAATCATTCGTAGAGATAACAGGGAGGCTTTTTCAAGATGTTTCTTGCCTAAACAACAGTAAATTACAATATATTATCTTGGTGAGGAATCTCACTCTTGTTTCACATTAGTTTTATTTGGTAGAAACAATTCTTATTTGAGACGCTTATTTCTAGATACAACAACATTGTTATCTCTTCAATCTTTACATTCAATTTATCTACTAAATCTGTTCAATGAAGCCCTCAATAATCATGCAATCTTCATTAAAGTCATATCATGATTCCAGGAAATAGTCTTACCTGGAAAAGATGTATAGTTCTCAAACTGTTGAACACTATCATCTAAAACTCGCAGGATCTACACAACAATAGAAGATATTAGATCAGCATTAAATTTTTTAGCATATATCAAAATAAAAACAAAACATTTGTCACCGATCAATGTCTATATTTTCAACTTGAAACAATAAGTGTGAATTTGTTTTTCAATTGTCTATATTTATTTGTAAACAGAGAATGAATCATAGAAAACTACTTTGAGACAAAAAGGATATAAATTTTGAAATAGTACTTACCATCTTCAATAATCCTGAATCATTTAACATATGAAGTAATAGAACATGTCCTGGTGGTTTATTAGTAGATACAGCACCACCACCCTGTATCTCCACTACCTGATCTATAAAATCTATCTCTTTTACTTCATGTTCATGTAATAATTTACACATTATCTCTAATGTACATACAGCTATCTCCCACTATAAAACAAATAAATATGATTACATCTTGCTTAATCTGAAAATTCTGCCACTAATTATAATAGAAAGATAGAAGAGAATTGTAGTTGATTTGAACACAAATTGATATATTAGATAATCATGGTAGATAATGATCAATTATCACAATCTGCAACTAACTATGGAATAAAATAGTATATTTAAATGTAATACTTAATTTCAAAACATTTTCCAATTTGTAATTTCTCATACCATTTTTTTTTAACTTAAAAGTCGATGAATGTCATTTGCACATTTCAGAATATACAGTAGAATCTGTATGAGCAGCCACTCCTATTCAGCGACATCTCCTTGTAAGCGGTCACGATAAATTCCCCCCGTAGAAATTCTGTTGTTTCATCTCTTTATTCAACGGTCACTCCTCTAACGCGGCCAGCGGTCACTATTTTACTAATAAATTCAACAAAACATCGCCCATTCAACGGCCATTGTTAAATGATACCATCTTGTCGTTCTTTGTAACACCCCCGCTAATCCCGTGAGTAGTAGTTAATTAACTGGACCCCCACTGATCAGGTAAAAAGAAATGTAAACATACCAATCAACCCGGGATTATCTGTTAATTAATCTTTTGTTTTATTAAACGACTAACCTGATCATTGTTTTCACGCGTAACGACACATTATTTGATACTGATTGAATAAAATAAAAGTACCGAGTTTTGTCACGATCATCTAGTATCTCTCTTAGCGCCTCCTATAATATTACATACAGAGTTACACCCCCTGTAAATAGGTGATAAAATTAGCGATGTTTTTTGTTCATGTGTTTTTTTGATAAAATAAAATGAATTCATCGATTTTCTTCACAAAAATGGATAAATATTATCGAATGCATCACAATGGTAGACAGTAGTATCGAAGGTTAGTACAAAATGACAAGTTTACAGAAGTTATGTCCGAGATTTGAGTAAAGAATTTTCGTCCGGCGCAAGATTCAGCGACGGCCAAATTTACCGCTTCCAATGCATCCAAGCGTAATATTTAATTTATGTCGGCACAAAAGGCAACGAGATTTTATTAAGAGGCCACTACCGTTAAGTTATGTCCGAGATTTGAGTAAAGAATTTTCGTTCGGCGCAAGATTCAGCGACGGCCAAATTTACCGCTTCCAATGCATCCAAGCGTAATATTTAATTTATGTCGGCACAAAAGGCAACGAGATTTTATTAAGAGGCCACTACCGTTAAGTTATGTCCGAGATTTGAGTAAAGAATTTTCGTTCGGCGCAAGATTCAGCGACGGCCAAATTTACCGCTTCCAATGCATCCAAGCGTAATATTTAATTTATGTCGGCACAAAAAGCAACAAGATTTTATTAAGAGGCCACTCCCGTTAAGCGGTCAGTTGTGAAAATTCCCTTGGGTGGCTGCTTAATGCAGATTCTACTGTATCTAATTTTTAACAGCTCAATCCACGCTAAAATGTATTCAATTACTTAACATTTAACTGATCAAAATATTGACGGTAGATAATTTCGCGGCCTGGATTAAATTGTATTAAAAATAGGCCCACCAATAGATTTCAGTGAAAATTATAGGTGGAACTGACTTGTTTTGATCGTATCCTATATATCGTCTTCAGTGGATGCCCAATGTTGATAAATTTCAATTCATCATATCTTTGTAAATACTGAATGGAATTAACCATTCTTGGACGAATATTTCTTGTCCAGATTCAACTTTCACACTATTGTAGATAGTAGGGAATTAAAAATCCCTCAAATGATATTCAGAGACTTTAAAGAACGTCAGCAGTCATTGTACTGATTTAACTATTCATTATCTTACCTTTTCTTCTGTATTTTTGTAAGCTCTAGTGTAGAATTTAAGGAAGACATTATTGATGATAAATTCTAGATATGGATCGAATCCTGGTGGTCTATAGCCAGCACCTAATGCTGCAGGTATTGGTATATTAGTTAATTGATTGAGTAAGAGTAGAAACGCGCGGGTCATGTGATACTCTTCATTTCTGCTTTCAATTTCTTCTAGTTCAACCTAGAAATAGATAATGGAGAAAGAAAGACAAGATAAATGCCAGGCTTTGTTTTTGTTTCATCATTTCACATACTAAATCAATTTGTATGATGTACAGCTTATTTACTGGATATACCCATGTCAGATTATAATCAATTTGTGTCTGTTAAACTATTAAAATCGTAAATAAAAAAAATAACATGCTAGTAAACTTACCACAATACCACAAGTTTGTTCTGTTGTTGTTGGTATAGTCGGTAAAATCTAGAAAAACAGAAGAGTATAAACCATTCTAATATCATTGGTTGGTTGCACTAGAACAAGACAGGTGATGGATAGAATGAAAGTCTGAAATGGTCAGAATTGCAATAGAGATCTGTTGAAGTTCCAGTAACAAGTTTAGTATAAGCACCGTAATATAATTAGTGGAAATATTTTCTAATTCAATCATTATGCATTCCTTTTGTTATCTAAAACTCTGGTGGATTGTCTCTTTTGTGGAATTTAGGAGAAACTGGAAATCTTTGGAGTATACCATTCAAGTACACTGAACACAAGTCATTAATATCATTTTATACTTAAAACTTGTATTATTGAAAAACAATACTTTACCTGAGCTATTTCTAATGTTTGCCATATGTTGGCAGCTATAGCTGGTGTCATTGCTAAATATGCCAGGGTTTTTAATAATTCTGCTTTTAATATAGATGGTATACTACAACCAATTAAACCAAATAATAGTATATTAACTCCCCACTGTTGATTCTCCCACACAGCACTTCGACAATTTTCATTCTGAAAAAACAAAACAAAACCGAAACCAGTGAATAAGATTTTTTCATGCTGTTTCATCAGTAAATATATTCAACAACAACATTCTTAAAGAGATCTTTTCTTTAATACAGAAAAAAATAATCGGTTAAAAGAAACAGGATACAAAATATAAGTTTCAATTAAAATTATTCCCAGATTGTTCTAATAAATAACTTTAGAGAGTTGGTGGAATTTATCAGTCACACAACAAAACTGATTCATTTGGGACCACCACATTGTAAATCACTTCTTAAACCTACAGTGAAATCAGTCAAAGATCTGGATTACAATACTGTAAACTACTTGTCCACTACTACAGGATGTCACGATGTATATCATTACACATCTATTATAACTGTAAATTCCCTAAACAATGAAACCTACACACTAACTTAAAGATGTTAATCGCTAAATTCCACATGCAAGTCTTAGAAACTCACTGAACTTTTTGTTTTGTGTAGAATCCTGTTCTGAATTTGATTGGCAGATTAAGTTTGTTTTACATCCAGGTCATTTCCTGCTAAATATGTTTCTAGTTGCTTATCAAATCAGTATAGAAGCCTATAACTACCATTTGTAATTTCTACTTTTCGCCCCTTCAGAATGCGAAAGTCAAAAAGTAAAAGATACGACAAAATGTAAGGCGACAGCACGCACACCAAGCAAAAGTTGAATAGAAAATAGAAAATTATGAAATAACACACTGCAACATTAGCTCCCCTCGTTTTTGAGTTGCATTTTGGCTTGTGTAGTGTGATGACTTTTATGAATTCTCGAAAAATGGATAGTAAAAAATAAATGGACTAGATATGTAAGTTTAAAGTGCTAGCAGTGGAGATAAAGGGAAATTATGAATTTTGCCATAAGTTGAAGGAAGTAAAGCAGTTATCAACTTTGCAGAGAGGTTTGAGAGATCAGATTTTAGATGTTATGACAGCAGAACATCTAACTTGTTGGATTATATAGCCCACATGCTGATCATGTTTCGGTTATAAATGAATGTACAATATACCTGTTTTATAACACATTGTGTTAGTTTTAAGACAGCTATTATTCCATCTAACTCATGAGCTGATATACCTCTATTATGTACAGCTCTATAAGCATGTGATGCTTCCATGGTACTGGGTGTTTCTCTACGTAAACTAGTATAATACTGATTTAATGACATGAATATATGATCCCATGATACCATGCTAGCTGAACCACCTATTTAAAATAAACACATAGATAGTTGAAACAATTCAATATGTAGATACAATAAAGAACAATCAAAACACTTATTTAACCCTTTAATATGAAAAGTGACATATGTATGACTTCATGCTTTTCCAGGAAAGCTACATGTGTGAATATTCAAACACTTCAAAGAGTTCTTAATGCTTAAAATATAATATTTTCACGCATTAGGCTACACAAAATAAATGTCTTGTTTCTCGGGCAACTGACAGCTGAAACTGTAGGGGGGGAGGGCGGTTTCTTTTTTTTTTTTTACCTCATTGCTAGCTAGAGGATGGTGCAAAATAAAATTTGGCTATTGTTGAAAATTGTTGGGGCTGGAGGGCGGCCTTGTATTTTTTTTTTTTTTTTTTTTTTTAATGAGAAAGTCATTACTTGTCTACGGTTTTGCTTTCAGTATAGTGTACATACTTAGAACATAAACCCCAAAATCAAGTCTACTCAAACACTGAACACTGACTGAAAGGAAAATAATTTCCATATTTATTTCACGTAATGTAGCTTACAAATGGTAATGGTGACAACCATAATTGAAATTGGTTTAAAATAACATTCCGTACGACAATTAATAGCCGTCCATAATAACAACAATAATTTAAAGAGTAAGCCTCAGTCAGCATGTGTATCAAAAATAATCATCACGGTAAACGACACTTAGAACTAAATCTAGTATCGCTGGTTTGACCTAATTCCAACCAATGCATGTCACGTGTCATCGGGATTCGTGAAATATTCGGTGTTCTATCTGGGGTTTATATCGAATGGTCAGTAAAACCATTATATGTGTAATCCAATTATTTTTTCCCGGATTATCAAAACTACTCTTATGTGCTAATGACCCAGATTCTGACTAAGGTATGGTGACTATAATCGTATCGTATTCGTAGCCACAAGTAATAATTAACCTGTTCTACGATTCATTGTTTTATAAGGAGGATTTTTTAAACATGGACCGACTGAAGCCGGCAATAATGAGCCGATTAATATCGAATGATTGAAATACATTGCATTGTTGTCAATGACTTTCGGTGTTTAACACGAATCAAATTCTAGTTCACCAGGGGAGGTAATTAAAATCACGTGATACAAAAATGGAGGTTCTTTCGATATCAATAAAAACGACTTGTAAATGAGCATTTACATCTGAATCAGTTTAATACATTTGAATGGATATACACATATGACGCATGTAGGAACATGCGGCATATTCTTTTTATGACTTGCTTATCGATGTTCGTTACATATTTTTTATTTTTCATCATGACTAATAAATAGACCGCACGCGCAACCAATTTTGCGTGCGGGCGGTGCCCGAGAAACAACTTATTTTATTTGTGTTCCCTTATTTTAATTTAATTCATATGATATACAAATCATATTTGACAACATGCAAAGCCATTTTTTACAAAGTCCCTAAATTTGATTCCCCAAAGTGAGTGTGGTTTTTGGACAAAACCTCTCATCTTAAAAGAATTAAAATCATTTCAGGAAAGACAGCTACCATATATTTTTTATTTGAAATTAATTAGAAGAAAATCTTTAAAGCTAAAAATTTTAGTTGTTCTTACCTGAATTCATTCCATTTATCTTAAGTAGATTAAAACAATGTTGAGCACACTGTGGACTATTAGCTAATCCCGTAATCATCTTTATATAGGGGACATACAATGGTGCCGGTAACAGATCTCCTGCTAGTCGTACAAACTTATATAAAGCCACCTAAAATTTAAAAAGAAGTTAAATTACCAATTATCATCAAAACAGATCAGCGAAAACATCAAATACATTAGATTCTAATTAAATTATTCAAGCTATCCTTATAGCTACCAGCTATATATTTTGAAAAGCAAGTTCCAGGAACATCTTCTTTTATCTAAAATTACATCTTCCATATTTTATATCTTCCGAAAAGAACAATACTGGAAATATTTGTGAACATGTTTATCATTGAAAGAAAGCCTGATTTAAATCCCTTTGTGTTTGTTTGTCTGATCATGCTATTGTTGATGTTTCACACTAACAATAATGATTACAAAATAATGTAGAGCAGATTAGAACATTTCAACTATTTTGGAGATGAACTGTGAAGACAACAGAATAATAATGAATACCAACTGACCTGTCTAGGAGGTGGTCTATAATGATACATTGATTCTTGTAAACCTGTTGGTTCAGCTGGACACCAATAATCTAATGATAACTCCAAGTTTAATGTATCTTCACTATACAAGTTAACCATCTACATATAAAATATTTTCATTCAGGTCATATAAAACACAACTGGCTTACTGTTATCAGGGCCCGGTTCCTAGAAAATTCTTAAAGTAAGCACAAAGTCATGCTTCACTTTTTCTTACGTAAGAAACTTATAAAAATACCGTCCCTAGAAAATTCTCAAGACCATTCTTACGTAAGCACAAGTCAAGTGTAAGTCTAAGCACATTGTGACTGGTAAAGTTTACCATAAACTGAGACTACGATGCTCTTTAACGTCACAAAAACCACTTTGGTATGCGAATTACGTCATAAATTTGTCGTCTGCTTCATTGATGTCATATATATGGTTGATTTAGATGCATTTGACATGTCCCCTATACACATATAAAATGTGCCACAAGATAAAAAAACGCAGGCACATACAAACTAACTGAATAATTGTGAGAGCGCCTGATCTTAAGTAGCCTGTGTGTTTGTAGCCTATTGTTTACTAATTGACAAATAAATAAAATGGTTTCAGGGTAGAAGTGAAATTTTCTATAGTAGGCCTATGCCTATTCTTAATTTCTTCTGGAGGATTTTCTCTGTCTTGTAGGCCTAATTGTCTCTTTGGTATCAAAAGGTGTCGGGGAATGCCATCGAATAACTGTACGGTCAGCCATCTTTTTGAAGTGGAAACAGGCTTAAGGTTGGTAAGCAAGCCGTATACCTTGCTTGGGACTTGTGCTTAGATTGACTATGTTTAAGAACGAAGTTGTGCTTAAGTTTTTTATTGGAACGCATAATAACATTCTTGTGCTTACAATGAAGTCTACTTAAAATCTAAGCACAAGAACGTTCTTAAGAATTTTCTGGGAACACAAAATAAGGTAAGTTTACTTAAATGCGAAGTCTACTTAAATCTAAGCACAAGAACGTGCTTAAGAATTTTCTAGGAATCGGGCCCAGGAAATGGCAACCATCATGTGTCAGCTTAATTTTTACCGATCTTTTATGTCAATTCTTTTGTGAATGATAATAATCCTGTAAGCTTCTTCTAATAATCAAACAGATATGACTGAAATTATACTACATGGAGATGGAAGGAGCAGCAGTCACCTGAGAACACATAACCTTTGGTTTTGACCTTAGACCTTGATGACAATTAGTTACTGCTTGTAAATAGATGTGTATTCAGCTTAGTGTATATTAAATTTTAGATATGTAACACTGAAATTAGTGTACCACAACAGTCAGGTTTAGATAAGTAACAGGAGAATTAGTAATTAGTTAAACAAATTTCAGTAAACAGCAAGAAAAAAACTATAAGATAAATGGAGAAACTTGGAAAGACATGTGTTTTTAAAAGTAATTTAGCCATATATGATCCTTTGAAAAAATAAAACCCCTCAATCCCACATGAGATTTCTTTTGCAGGATTGTCTGGAGAACCAAAATATTATTTTTGTAACCATTATCTTTAATTTTCTTTCTTAAAAAGTTGGCAGTGGAACAATACATTAGAGATTTAGCTATAAAAATGAAACTTGTTCTGTCAACTATAAAGTTATTTATTACCATTAATAAAAGTTCTTCAAAATCTCTTCTATGTTCAGGAGTTTGTAGGCCCTCATTTTGATGAGCCATAACTATTCTTGCTGTCTCATCACCACGATTTCTCAGTTCCTTCACCTTAAATATCAATCATTTATGAGCCTTGATTTGTATATTTGATTACGTGGTTCTTTATTTGGGCATTATCTTTAAAGGTCTTGATCTATAAATGCCAATAATTTTTAATTTTTTCAATTTAGCGAAGAAAAAAACAACTGTTAATACCAATGTTCTTTACTTTCATTTTAGTTTAGTTCTTATTTATTTTTACATCAACACTACAGTAAGGTCTAAGAACATCTTTTGAGAAGTTTGTGTGAGTTCACCTTCTGGTTGTTCATTCTGCCACGAAATGAAAGATCAGAGAAAAAAAAACCAAGTAGTTAAATCTTCATGTGCCCCAACCCAAAATAAAACCAGAAAGAAATCAGATACTAATTAAATGGTGTTGCCATGATATAATACTGACCTTTAATGGCATGTGATATATAAAATCTGTTATCAAACCATGTATTCTTCGAATATAGAATTCCTACAAAAATCATATAAATCTTAATTCAGAAGAGAGAGAAATTTAAGTAATGTCCAGTAAAAATTGAGCTCTGAAAAACAAAGACACATTTGATGTGACTGCTAACATTCTTTTTTCCACCTCTATTATTCTGTGCACACGATGTTTACACTTTCCCCAATTTGAAACCTCAAAATTTTTTCTATCTTTATCAATGGAAATCAATTCTTACCTCTTGGAAAAACTCTCTAGTTAATAAAACAGAATTATTGATAAAATTAAAGACTTGACCATCTATTGCTGAATCCATGAGATGTTCATCTTCCTCACAAAATTCATTAGATCCTACATTAAAATAAATACATTATATGACTTATAGAAGAAGCAGTATTAAGACTAACATTTAAACTTTTGAACAGGAAAACAATATATTTTACAAGTATTGTTATCGAATACTTCACTTGACACAACAAAAACAACCTTTGTTTTACTGATGAAGTGATTCATGCATACTTTGCTTCAAATGACTAGTACAATTCAGCAGATATTACAAAATAACCGACTTGTCAGGAAAGTTATTTCAATCCACTGTGTTAACTATGAATGCAAATTTTAGCAATTGCATCAACCACAGTGCATGTTACAAATCAATTGTTACCGACTCTCTGTTAATTCTGATCGACTCAAATCTTTTAAATCAGACAGAGTGCTAACATACTGCAACATGAATTATTGAACTGGGTAATAGTCTAGTTTGATAGATATTGCATCTATACATCTATAATTGTTGCTGTCATTTGTCTGTCTTCCCATTTGGAGTTGGCGGACCCGAATCTTGCCCTGATGCTCAAAATTGGGTTATGGGGGCAGCTGGAGGCGGGGAGTAAAATAGGTACTGCCAGTTTCACTTTCAAAGTTACAGTACTTCTTGTTCAGGTCAACCACTAGTATGTTATATTACTAATACTGATTATTAATTGTTAATAAGAAATGATATATTACCTTGGGGTAATGGATACTGTGATAATTGCCGTAACATATTGGCCCAGGCAAACAAAAATAATGCTTTAATACCAGGATTAATCCATTGTTGTTGTGATGTCATCTCTCTATGTAAATCTACCATATAACTAGCATCAGTCATAAATGGAAATTTTTGAACTGTTTCTGCAATGATTAATGTATGACCATTAAAGCATTTTATCCACACAGCTTCTTTTAATTCCTTTCATCTATGGATCTTTTGCATGGACTTTCTTAAATTTTGTCCCTCCATAATATCAACAAAGCATAAAATATCTCAAGTCTTTAAGGCTGACACTGGGATTTGAGCTGCGGACATCATATTTATTTAGTCTAGTTCTCTAATAACTACAGTGCATAAACTCCTTATAATCATAAAGAATATAAAGTCTAGTAACAAAGGTCAGAAATTACCTTCTGCATCTTCTCGTTCCAATATACTAACATCGAAACAATACAATAAAGACATCAAAAGACATAGTGTTACTGGATCAAGCGAGGCATTTGCCTGACTAGAGTTATCCGACTTTAAATGAGCAATCAAACGTTGAGTGTCCGATTTCCTTAATGGCTGTTGACAAGCTAAACAAAATATACTTTCAGCAAGATTTAATTTCATTTCATTAAACATATCCGTTACCTGCAAAATATAAATTTCATAGCATCTATTATTCAGTCATTGGTTTCTATATTTTGTTGGTAAGCTGAAAAAAGTTCTCCTTAATTTGCCAAAGTCAAAAATCGCCCTAATACCCCCAGTGAGGGATTTGGCAAATAAGAAGAGTTATATTACCTGCAAAATATAAATTTCATAGCATCTATTATTCAGTCATTGATTTCTATATTTTGTTGGTAAGCTGAAAAAAGCTCTCCTTAATTTGCCAAAATCAAAAATCGCCCTAATACCCCCAGTGAGGGATTTGGCAAATAAGAAGAGTTATATCATAATAAGGAGATTGATTCATTTCGTTCATAAGGCAGAGGTACTGAGAATACAATATAGCAAGGACTTTGGTCTTAGTATCAAACAAGACTGACATATTTATAGGGGTACAAGTCAATATTTTCCTCCCATGGAAGTGGGGGATCAATAGTAGCTCTGTGAGTAAGGCATTTGCTCACTAACCAGAAGGTCCCAGGCATGATCCCGGTATTGGCCAATAAAGTTTCTCTAGATTTTCCAGTGTTGTGCCAAGCAAGAAAGAAGGATGGGACGAAAAAATAAGAAAACTATAAAAGAATATATTATTCCTTCTGACATCGCTCACAGGGACAATAACTGCATTTTCAAAAATGCAAAAAAAAAAAAAAAAAAGACATCATTACTTTCTTAACCATTGCTGTAAATTTGGGTATATTAATAATCTTACTTGTTTTCTGTGTTTTGGTGGTCCCAGGGCTCTTTCTTTTTGTAATTTATCTAATTCAATTGTTAAATCCATTGTTTTAATAACATCTGAAAGATAAAAAAACATGTTTAACAAATTTAAATAAAAGTTTCAAATTCTGACTGGTCAATAGTCCGATTAACAACCAATAGCTAACTGCGTAACAACATCATTACACTTTAAACAGAGCACCAAATGGGACCAAATATGTTTACCTAACGTTATGTCATGACTCGCGATTTTATTACACCCAATTAACCAAAGCATAGCAGAATATTGCAGATAAACTAATTGTGTGACAAACGATGCTATCAAAATGAATATAATGTAAACAATACTGTTTGGAGACAAACAATACTTTTACCGTTTTTAATACCTTAAATCACTGTCCAAGTTTCAGGGAAGACCCCTGATTAAACGAAGGGCTGTCATGTTGCTGTACTTGGGATAGATTTGACTGAACGGGAAGAATAGACACACTCCCTCAAAATTTCAAGTATCAGAAGCCAATCCAGCAATAGCAAGAGAGGGATTTCTTGTGCCACTGCTTCAGGAATGACAAATACCTTACTCTAAGTATGTTAGTTGCAAGATATTAGAAAATATGATGATTCTCAGGTGATCTTAGGTAGGACTTACAATATTTTCTTGGAGAGACTGATAATATCTTATCAAAAGACAAATAATCATTTAGTTTGGCAAAATAATTTATGTAGGAAATATCCATTTGATACAGACTTACTTATGTTGTAATATAGACTGAAATTCAATGTTTGAACTAAAATAGATAAACTACACTGTTCATAATTCTCATACATACCTAGTATTTTATTAACTATTCCTTCCTCTATTAGTTGATCTGTAAACTGTGTGATAATATATACAACATCAGATGGTACACCTAGTGACCAGGTTCTACCTTCTCTAGCCTGTATCATAGCTCTTAAAGAATTAACCAAACTTCTTCTACCATCATAATATAATAAAACAGCTACCAGACCACGTGTTAGACCAGGATAGTTAGGCAGTTGATTTTCACCTAATCAAAAGTAAATGATTAATGTACATACATGTATTTGATAAAGCTGAATATTCACATGGACCTTTTACAGGTACCACTGAATCATTTTGAGTTTGCCAACTGATACTACTGTTCATGTTTATTTAATTCAGATTCCATGCATCCATAGGGCATCTTGAACTGGTGCCTCGGCACTGAAGTGAGACAATGTGCTATATAATATATCTTTGGCTACACCTCAAACAGACTGTAAAAATTGAACTTAACTTCTAATAGTATGTCTACTGATCATGTGTTATCATGTGAATTAGATTACATTGTAAGGACAACAATAAATTTGTTTTGACCATTTTTACCTGCCATCAATAATTCTACTGCTGCTAATTCATTCATATCAAAGAGATCACTGATAATAAGAGCTTCAGATATAAACTGTTGTGATAATGTCTGGGTTCTTTGCTCTCCCTGAACTACCAGTCCTTCTGTTGTAGCCTTCTTAACAGCCTCTCTGTGAGCATTGTTCTTGGCCTGTAAAATACAATATCAATTGAAATCGGTCATTTTAAATTTAAAGTGGAAATTTAAAAAATTAATTTCACATTTTGCTGTCAACACTATTAGGTAAGTCAGACAGGTGACCGATCTATTCAATGTCTTGTACAAACCCTGGTTGGAACTCTATGATGTGCACAGATAAACAATCAGATCATCAACACATGCAATAGACCACACAACCGTCCTCTGTAAGTAGAAAGATAGTTTTTTTATTTGATCATCTATTGATGATTGTTCAATGATCTGCAAAGAGCCAGCTAATAATGTTAAGAACTTTGAACATGTTGAATTTCGTTTAAATTTCTGCTTTCGTTTGCTACATATACACGTACACACATAATCTTGGTTGTTAGTACCGATAGATAAAAATTTATATTTTAAGAATTATGGACTTACCGGTTTTTTCAAGAGTGAAATAAAGTCAGGTTTATGCTTCCTTAAAGCTACTTCAAGATCATATGCTGCACCTGGTTGTTTTCGGAAAACTGCAGCATCAACTGTATCATACAAAGATCGAAATGGTCCCCACAAACGAGCAGCTTAAAGAAAAAAAACTTGGTATGCTGTATAAGAAGTAAATAATTAACAGACTAAACTGTCAACATACATTAACAACTATTACTAGAACTGATTAATACATAATTGAAGTAAAGCAAGAAAGAATTTTTGTTTAGCCTACGTAAACATTCCATTCCTAGATTTTGAATAGTGGCTAACAATAGCCATGAACCTGTAACCTCCGGTCTGCGAAAGCTTGGGTTTCATCATGGCAGTTCAACTGAAATGAATTTGTTTGTGTTTTTGAATCATAAAATACTATTTGAAAATAGTGCTGAATTATTAAAATTTGTGTCCGATGTGTTGAGAAATGATTCCTTTTGGTGAACAATGAAGAATCACAGTGAAAAATAGACGGTAAGAATTCCAAAATAGCCTTATAACCGACGTGGTGTAAAATGTTCACATGTTAATAATAATAATAGGGAGTTACAGTAACGATGAGAGTACATGAGTCTGATCAGATATCGTTACTAAAGTAACTATAGTTAATTCTACACATGAAAGCTACTGACATTGTAGGTCAACATCTACTAGATCTATCACATCAGAGAAAACCCTATGGAACATGTAATAACATAAAACGTTGAAATCTCAATACCATCCAAAGTCTTCAAACATTGAAAACACAAATTATTTGTCAATTTAAATCAACATTGATGTTGTGATCTTACTGGGAAAAGATGGGCTTCTGATATCCAGTAATTTTAAAGACAAAATAAACATTTTACCATAGGGACGGTACACGATTCCGTACCATAATGCCTTAATGTGTTCGGACTGGATATTTAACCGTATAGGGCAAAGTATCTACTTCCGCTATTTTACCGTACATCGTTTCTGATTGGCTGGAATATAGTGACGTCATCAAGTGTCAGTTCCTGGATTATTTGACCGTACATGAGATGAATTTAACCGCATACGGCTATCTTAAAAATCAGTATTAATCCCCAAATTTGAAAATAAATTAAGAACACACTATTGTAATTATTTTAATTTCCCATTTTGAAGGATTAGAAAAATGGGTTAGGTATAGGGTTCAAATTTATCTCCTATTTTCAGAACATCTGTACTTTCCGCCATTTTGAATAAGGTATGACATCATCATACAAATTAGCCAATCAGAAACGATGTACGGTATAATAGAGGAAGTAGATACTTTGCCGTATACGGTTAAATATCCACTTCCTAATGTGTTTCAGCACCATTTGTAACAAGGGACTTGAAGAACAAGGTTTGATATATTCCACGAGTCATGTCAAAAAGTGACGCCATATTCTTATCTGGAGAGCATGTGCAATAAATACTATCGGTGTAGACTCAGACTGGAATAACCTGACACTGGAGCTTGCCATTCGATTGAGACTTCTGCTGGCGTATTCAACTTCAATGAGATACTTCACAAAATCCTCTGTTGGACATGACGTGTATTTCGCGGAACATACATGTAAATTTTGAAATTACAGTAAAAACGGAAACAATTGAATGTAAATCAGTTTATATACATTCATATTACATTATTATATGCGTTGCGACCCATTTGTGTCAAGTTTCTAGGTCCCAAATATTAGCGTATTAGTATATTAGCGCATTATGGTTTACACTCTCTATTTTTTACTTTCACTTTTCCTACAAAATTAAGTGTGTTGTTTCTTGTTTTAAATAAATTTCCAGCAATTAGTTATCAAAATTAACACTTGGGGATTATTCATTAACTATTGTCAACAATTTACTTAGTAAATAGTTTTTTAAAATCACAATAAAACTATATTTCGTGTTGTAATATACCTGAATTTACCGCCATGTTACTGACCGCCGCCATTTTGGAACTGACTTCCTACAAGGGAGACAACCACAAACAGGTGCGTGGATTGAGACAAGTAATTCTCTTCAATCGATGACATTGCTTGGTCTATATCGTTTTTTTCTTTTATCTTTCCGACGATCTCAGTCTTCATAATCACAGTTGTCTAATAAAAATATTGAAGGGGTTTGATCGTCTGAATTTTTTCTAGGCATTATCAAAGGAATCTATAGGCTGTGACGTAATTTTGGAAAGTGATTTCCCTAATTTTGGTAGGTGATTTCCCTAATTCACGTTCCTTTACTCCGAAATCCTTCCAGCTCTTCTAAAAATTGCCCCGCAAAAGAGGTGAAATGGGAAAAAGAAAAGAATTGCTGCAAATAGACGGACAAGAATCAGGGGAAACAATTACTAGTCTTAGTCCTATATAGCCCACTTTATTTTTATTACCATTAAAAAGATATATTTCATAGGTCCCAAGTATATGTCCAATAAAACTGCCTAATAATTTATGGATAGAGCAATTGCTGAATAAATCGTGTTACGTTAACATAAAGTGCTATTTTCATTTTCTATTAGGTATGATGCACCAACTTTGAAATTGAAGGCATTTTTCAGAATACATTGTTTTGGTAAAAATTAGTTACAGTTCCTATCCGGCCCTATGTATAGCTGCAATATGAAAATATGGTAAAATACCGCCTTTCCCCACCTCTGTTCTAGTCAGGCTGCTTTAGAACCCTAACCACCTATTTTTCACCGTGATTCTTTATTTTCCACCAAAAGGAACCATTTCTCACTATACTTGACACAAATTTATAATAATTCAACACCATTTTCAAGTAAAATTTAGCGATGAAATAAACAGGTGTCGTAATAGCTGATCAGTTCAAACGTATTTTGTGTATGTTTTTAATCTCAGGATTCTACTTAAAAATAGTGTTGAATCATTATAAATGTGCGTTAGCTGTGGCAAGAAATGATTCCTGTGGCGAATAAAGTAGAATTAAGGTGAAATATAGTAGGTAAGAATTCTAAAATAGCCTTAGAACAGAGGTGGGAAAGAGCGGTATTTTCATATTGCAGCTATATAAGGCCGGATAGGAACCGTCAGTGGACATCGTCCGCCCAGATACAGTTCCTAAAGAAACTAGGTAAAAATGTATATTTCACCCGAAATGCTGATATATGTAATATCTGATTTTAAGATTCACTTCATTTTTCTACAGCAAATTTGGACCAACTTGATTGAAACATTCAGTCATTTTATCAACGCTATATATTACAAGAATACTGCGCAACCTTTTTCACAATATCCAAATATTTATGAAAAGTTAAAAATATGCGGAATTTGTTGACAAGTTGGGAAGGTGCTTGGAGTTCATTATGCCTAATCTTTATATCACCCCACATTTTATCCGATGAAAATTTTGAAAGGCGGGTGAACGGCCCTTATTCATGTATTATCCAAATAGAGCGGTGGCTGAGGCGGGGGATGTGGGCGGGGAGGGGGGTGAATCACCACCAGAGCGGTGAATTTATGAGACCAAGTTTTCCTAGACCAGTTCTTTGCGTAGATTCCGAATCTGGGTGTTGATCATGTGTTTGAGGGGACATGGGGGATGTCCAATGTCTACAATTTGGGGAAAATGTGATTATGTTGATATAAATGATAATCATGTTATATATTAACTAGCAGGATACCCGGCTTCGCTCGGGGGTCATAACTCCGAAACCGGAAGTGGTAGACTAACGCCACCTGGTCTATGTTACTCCCCAGTCCGAGCTACCCCTATACCCCAAATTTCAGACTCGGGACAGACCTAGTGTAGCCGCCAACCCCGAACAGACCGGCTTCGCTCGGGGGTTATAACTCCGAAACCGGAAGTGGTAGACTAACGCCACCTGGCCTATGTTACTCCCCTGTCAGAGCTACCCCTATACCCCAAATTTCAGACTCGGGGCAGACCTAGTGTAGCCGCCAACCCCGAACAGACAGACTTCGCTCGGGGGTCATAACTCCGAAACCGGAAGTGGTAGACTAACGCCACCTGGCCTATGTTACTCCCCGGTCCGAGCTACCCCTATACCCCAAATTTCAGACTCGGGCCAGACCTAGTGTAGCCGCCAACCCCGAACAGACCGGCTTCGCTCGGGGATCATAACTCTGAAACTGGAAGTGGTAGACTAACGCCACCTGGCCTATGTTACTCCCCGGTCCGAGCTACCCCTATACCCTAAATTTCAGACTCGGGGCAGATGTAGCCGCCAGCCCCGAACAGACTTCGCTCGGGGGGTCATAACTCCGAAACTGGAAGTGGTAGACTAACGCCACCTGGTCTATGTTACTCCCCGGTCCGAGCTACCCCTATACCCCAAATTTCAGACTCGGGGCAGACCTAGTGTAGCCGTCAACCCCGAACAGACCGGCTTCGCTCGGGGGTCATAACTCCGAAACCGGAAGTGGTAGACTAACGCCACCTGGTCTATGTTACTCCCCGGTCCGAGCTACCCCTATACCCCAAATTTCAGACTCGGGGCAGACCTAGTGTAGACGCCAACCCCGAACAGACAGACAGACAGACAGACAAACGACAGTCACAAATATATATATAAAATAATATATATATATATATATATATATATATATATATATATATATATAGATAGATAAAACATAAATTTCTAGGACTGCCCATCTCTAAATAAATGTTTATGATGCCCCTAGACAACTGTTTTGATTTTATTGCGAGGTGGGGTGGGTGGTTGCAGGTTTGCGTGTGTGTGGGGAAGCGGGGGGGGGGGGGGGGGTAATAAAATTATATAGCGGGAAATGAGATCACCTAGATTTAACTGATGATTATCTTAGAGCTTGCTGAAACATCTCTAAATATGTTTATAAGATTCCCATTGTGTGAGGGTGTGCGCCGGGGTGGGTGCCCGTGTTGGTGTTGGTGGTGGTGTGTGTGTGGGGGGGGGCAACATGTGTTCTTGTGGACAGAAATCTTTTGGTTCAAAATTGACCTTAGATATTTAAAAGTGGTTTCTCGTTAGCGTTTTCGTTCAGTACCTATTTAGTCATTTAATATATCAAATTATAATGGTACTTTTCAAGAGATCTGAAAATGTACATAAAAAAACACAGTAAATCAGAGTCATGTTTAGATATTAGTTTATTCTTAGTCTTCATCAGAAAATTCAAAATCAGAGTTCATAATATGAGCGGGATAAATATCTTCTTGGTTGCTGACCAACAGCTCTCATATCCTTTGGATAGGCTTCAGATACCAATTCACATTGTAAATCTTCATTCCAGCCATGCAGCAAAAGACCACTGCAGCAAGGTGGTAATAAAGAAAGGTCTGTTATTTTTTCACCCAGAAAATCTTTCTTCTAGCGTCATCTACTGATATAAGTCGCCTTCCGCGATATTTTCTACCTTTGCCCGTTTCATTATCGATCAAAATGTGTATATTGTTTGCGAGGAGAATGATTGGGATATCTATTTCGCCCGAGCAAGAACGCAAAATACAATTTGTTTCAGCGCCTCTATTAATTTGCAATGCGAAGAGGAGTAGGTAAGTTATTTTGGTGTCTTCGTTGTTTGTTGTCAGTTCTAGGATATTCTGGACACTTTCAATACTAATCTTGATATATTTTTTGATCCCATCAAGATTAGTATTGAAGTTTCGAGAATATCTCGGCCTACATGCTTTCAGTGGTAATGACTATCTGTCTTTCTTTTTCCAACTTTCTAACAATTTTTAAAGAGCTGGGACAGACAAATGATGTTTCTGATGGCGTAATTGCTGGTTTACAAAAAAATGTTTGTACAATGTACGGCGAAAGGCGACTTACATCAGTAGATGACACTAGAAGAAAGATTTTCCGCAGGAATTTTAATTGTGATGAAAAATAACAGACCTTTCTTTCTTTATTACCATCTTGCCTGAGTAGTCTTTTGTTGCACATTAAACGCAACAATTATGTTGCAACAATATGATCGAACAAGCGATACAAGGCTGGAATGAAGATATACAATGTGAATTGGTATCTGAAGCATATCCAAAGGATATATGCGAGCTGTTGATTAGCCATCAAGAAGATATCTATCCCGCTCATATTATGAACTTTGATTTTGAATATTCTGATGAAGACTAAAAATAAATTAATATCTAAACATGTCTCTCATTTACTGTGGTTTTTTTATGTACATTTCCAGATCTCTTGAAAAGTACCATTATAATTTAATATTTGGAATGGCGAAATTGGCACTGAACGAAAAAGCAATCTGATTAAAAGATTAAAATACGAGAAAACACTATTCAGGTCAATTTTGAACCAAGTGATTTCTGTCCCCAAAATTACATTTACTCCCCCCCCCCACCGCCCCCCCTCGTCAAATACAACGGGAATCTTACATACATATTATTTAGAGATATGCAGCGGAATTAAAAAGTAATAATGTTTTTATCAAGCTCTAAGAAAATCATCATTTAAATCAAAGTGAACTCATTTCCCGCCTCCATACATCATACACGCTCACCTGCTATCCCCACCCCGCCTCCCCACAAATCAAAACAGTTGTCCAGTGCATCATATACACTTCTTTAGAGACGGACAGTCCTAGAAATTTATGTTTTATTAATATATAACACGATAATCATTTATGTCAACATAATGACATTTCCCCTCAATTGTAGACTTTCGAAAACACCCCCTTAAACGCCTGATCACCACCCAGATTCGGATTCTACGCAAAAAACAGGTCTAGAAAAACTTGGTCTCATAAATTCACAGCTCGGGTGGGGATTCCCTCCCTTCAGCCACCGGACTAAAATCATTGTTATAATTCACCACGATGCGTAATCCCGTCTACCATCGTGATTTTGAACGCCGACTTCAAACAAAATGTATTAGATGATAATGTATAGAGTATGAAAAACAAAACGAAACAGAATTAACAACATTTTTCATGAACAGCCAATCAGACGATCAAGTATGGTGGCTGATTACGTCGTGATGTAGAGATGCCGCCTTTCACAACCCGACACCGGACATCACGACAAAGCGTTAAAATGTCGTGAAATTAAGGCAACAGCACGACATTACGACATGATATAAATCAGTCACCACAGAAGGCTTATTTTTCCATTGTAGAAGTACCATTGTATGAAGGGTTACAGTGAAATCTAATTAAACTTCTGTCGTCATAGACTTTACAGTTTGCTTGACAGATTGTGGGTTGTTAAATACTAAAAAACAATGCTATTTCGACCTTAGAGGTTCCAAAGTTTGCACGAATGCCTTCCCCAAGTCAAAAAGCCAATATACATTCTTAAGCTCGGTTCATACTACATCCGTATCCATAAACGTATCCGCATCCGTATCTGCACCCGCATCCGTATCCGCGTTTTGCCGTTCAAGACTGACTTGAAAGCCGGACGTTTTCGCGTTTTCTATTTGAACGGCAAAATGCGGAGACGGGTGCGGATACGGATGCGGATACGTTTATGGATACGGATGTAGTATGAACAGAGCTTAAGGCTTGTTGGGCGACAATAGTTGTGCCTATTATTGTGTTGACATGTGCATCTGCTTCTGCTTTATGTAACTTAACAGTTAATTTGACGTGATTTGTCTATAGAGTTGCTATGGAAACGAATTTAAGGTTCCTACAAATTCGTTTTCAGAAAGCGTAAAGAAAACTTTTTCATTACTGTAGGCTATATAAATAAGCGCACACGCCTTTTCCACCATAGCTTCGCTACAGGTTGTAGTAGCTATTTCAAGAGCCGGTGTTGCTGAACGAAAGTATGAAATGACACGCCCAGGGACTGCATTGTTTTTCATAAGATTTCGCTTTAACACGAACACTTCTTATAGTCAAATATATAACGCCAATAGATTTTATAATTCGATCTACATGATTTCTATTTTGAAAATATAAAAGCACGCTTCTGGCATTATAGATTTTATTTACTGTATACTTATCGGTCACTATTCATTAATTCCATATAAAGCCCACAAAAAACGGATATCCTTGCCTTTTTTTTTTCTTCTTTTTGTTTTTTTTATATTGAAAAACGATATAATAATGTTAATGTGAATATCTCTAACTAAACTGTACACAATTCTTAACAGATTATAATGTATATTGTAAGGCCCTGGCTCACTAACCAGGAGGTTCCGAGTTCAACCTCATTGTTGGCCCAAAACGTCCCCCCTTGTCAATGGTGCGGGAGACCTGGCAAGGAATGGCTTCCAATCGTTCAGATGGTACGAAAAACTGAGATCCCGTGTACACGTTGGGGTGTACGTAAAATAACTCTTGACAGTTGGAACTCGTAATAAGAGCAAGCCGTACCGCCGCTGTCAGGGCAAAATTTCCCCAATTGCACCCTGCATGGCGTATGTCGGTCGTCATTAACCTGGTTGGTGCAGAAACGAAGAACGTTAAACCCCATATCATTTCCGAAAAAAATGCCGTCGTCGTTAACGCATATAGAGCACTAACCCTTTTTGCACTGGAAGCAGATGATTTACATACATACATTCACTGTTATTCGCAATCTAAAATTTGCCTATTGTAGTTATGATATAAGCAGCTTCCAGGAACTGTCAAGTGTACCTGATCTGTGCGACCGCCCAGCATTCCATCCACAACTATAAATGAAATTATCAATTTGGTTAATATTGTATTACAAAATAGACCAAATGGGGTCTGAATTAGCTTTAATGCACCACAAACCAGTAACCAACACACCCAAAATATGACATTCGGTTGAAATCTCTCTGAAGGAAGTAGTCTCAGATATATTATAGTGAATAAAACTTTATCCTAGTAACATATTTGAGAGCCTCTTCTTTTTTTAAAACATTTTATATAGAAATCAATGCACACCAGACCCTCGACAGTACCGTGGCTCATTATGATCAAGTACATCATCGGTATAGTCGAATCAAGCCGGACATGGCCCCCACCTAACCCTTTTGAAAATAACCATTTCTTTTATGCGAGCAGCGTATTTTATGGAGAGACGTCTATGTTTTGGTAATGGATTGGTGGATAGACATTTTTCAACTTAACTTTTAACACGTTCTATTATATTCTCAAAATATACACTTTCTTTGGTGAGAGAAAACAGCGATATTTTTATATGACTTAAAGAAAGAGAACACTACAATGGACAGTTAGTTCAAATCGTTTTCTCAAAATAAAGCCCATTTCAGTCGCGACTATTTCCTTCATATTGTTTTAAATGATTTTGGTACTTTATTTATTTGCAGTAGACATAGCCGATGGCATTGTACTAGTTTCACAATACTCATCTATAGACTTAAGAAAACCATTGATTCTAGCCTGGAGCTGGGCGTTATAATCTAAACATGGACGTTTCGACTTGTTGTTAGCATTATTTTCTATTAAATGATTCAACAAACGGATTCTAGCGGCTTTGGGAAAGGCTTCCCTGGCTTTCAGAGCAGATTTTCGAGACTCTTCTAGCGATTCCGAACTAGTCATTGAAAGTTTCATAACAAGTTTTTCACGTCTCATTAAATCCAGGGGATCTTTTTTGTATCGTTCTTGCGGTTTAATATAATTAAATAATTTTCGTCCTTTATAACAAACATAAGGCGACTCTTCTTTACTTCTGTGGTGGTACACATAGCGCGCCATTTTCCTGGGATTTCCTATTAGGTTTTTGGTGTAATCGATTTCGTCATTGTCTGGCACATTAATCTCGTCTGAACGTATGTTCACAATCGGATCAGATTCCACTTTCTGTTTCCTATTATTATCAATATATTTGTCTGGAACACCAAACCGAATGTTTTGACAGGTCTGTGGCCTTTCAGTTGTCGGACAAAATCGCACACTATTAGAATCTAACGGCTTAGTAGCTCCCGAATAATGGTTCCCACTATAACGAGGCAAATAACAAGACTGCGGTCGAATTTGCACTCCATTTTCCCCCTCAGCGTCGGAAGTAACGTTACTGTTCTTAATGCCACTATGTGTAACCCATCCAGATTTAGGCCGATTTTTCGTTTGAATAGGTGTTTCCCCTCTCCGGATATTTGATGCAGGCGCTGAATGTGCTAACGAGCGAGGGACAATTCCTGGCTTCCTCCTCTGTGGTAACTTTCTTGGAAGTTGAGCAAGTTCTTTATATACTGCATTATGCGTTGTCTCACTGAATGTATACGCCCAGGGTTTTTGATAAACATTTGTCTGCACAGAAGGAATAGGATCTCCATACATCCTTGGATTCGGACTAGATCCTGATGTCCTTAAACTTTGTTTCCTTAATTCTATTAATCGTTCCTTCTGTTTTGCTAAACAATCTTCGTGCATCACCTCTTTGAGTCGCAGGGACTGCAGTCGAACTCCCAACAAAGTTTCTTCATGTCTGTTTTTCGCCTGGGCCAGCACCTCGCCATCACTTATGAACTGTTTAGTACTGGCCATTTTCAGATCCGAACTATAAAATATAAAAAAAACCCCAGAGTGAATCAATCCTTGCATAATATATATGTAACACATACAATGTATACATTTAGGCTATCTATAGTCCTATCAAATTTACGACTATTTTGCACAGTCTTTTATTAAAAAGAAGAAAGAGTACCACAATAATACCATTAAATCATAGCAACATATAACCAACAGACAATGTTACTCAATTCTTTATTTATTAAACACAACAAACTATTCTTATTCAGGATACGCACTATCAAACGCATTGAAGCTTATTAAACATTAATGGAGTTTTTATCACACAAGAGACAGTGAATACAGAAACTTTAATATTTATTGTCATATTTATTCAGCGAATTCCATCTAAGATTATTCTATTAAGTGGTTAAATAGCCATTTAATAATCAGTGTCTCAAAATCTAACAGGAAGTGTATTCATTATTATATAAAAGTGTGCAAACTTGACAACAGATATAAACTGTTTAAAAGCAAACCCTTAAGGTAAATATCGGCAATCAACATTTGTTCGGCCCATGGATCTACTTAGAGACAATATAGACCAAAATACCAGTTATAAAACGAAAGAGTACCTTGTCTAGAGGGAGGGTGGGGGCAGGAGGCAGTTATTAGATTTTTTTCCACTCCAGTTCTATTTTTTCAAACAATGACCTTTGGCAAAACTATTTATATAGTAGATTGTCTTAGTTATTAAGAGACTATTACAAATGGAAAAGGAAATTACACCAGCTATACAACAATTATGGTCTTATATACTGTTACATATAATCTCATACTTTTAGTGTACCCGGTTGCACAGAAACCACTTTGTAACTTGACAATGTGCATTAAACACCAATAAATATATCAAATCGTAAAGCAGAAGCAATCAAAATTCCCGTGTTACTTTAATCCATAAAAACAAATCAATAGCCTGTACTCGCTAGAAAGATAAACACCTCTGTATTTGAAGTAAATTAATATGACACAACCGTCTACCATACCTACCGAAATCACTCGATCCCCCGACACACACACACACATGTTAATCACTTAAAACCATATCTAAAAGAATTTATACCCCTTCTTTAAAACTAAATGATTGGATCAAATAGGCAATACTGTAATAGTAGTCAATGTGACTGATTTAAATCGATTATCGAAAATCTTATTCACACAGTAATTCGGCTTCTTTCATACAAAAATATCCGGCAAGTCCAATGAACACCAATAATGAACAAAGACATACATGCAGTGCTAACATAATTTGATGTCAATGTTGCAGCTAGTTTAGTAATTTCAATATTACGGGATAGTTCAGGTTTATGACAAATTCAAAGATCAATGGCTATAGTAGCTATGACATGTCGTGTAGTAAACATTTGATAACCAACGGTAGTCCAAAGTATTTGCCACTTTTTCCAGTCTTGTTAATTGATGGATTATGGGCAGATTTAGAAGGACAGTCTTTTTTCAATGCGTCTTTGCCAGTTGAAAAATTAAGAATTCCCTCAGTTTGTAATGTAGGGTATTTCAGGGATGCAATCCTTGTTAAATTTCTCGCAAAAACCCCCCAAAACCTAACTGATACACGTAAAAATAGTATTTCCAATTAAAGGATTTCCTTGCAGAATCACCATATAATATACATTGTTTACAATCTTTAATTATTTACTGTGATCTTTCTATGACTTAGCATCTGTGACTAAATAAGCTATAGACAAAACAGAGACGTATGTTTAGAATGGCAAATGTTAGCTTTTGGACAGTGTATAATGTGACGCATGCTAAGAATAGGAATCACACATAACAGCCATAAAGAAGTAGTATGACATCGACAAACAAAATATTAAATTAATTCACAGAAGAGATCTAATTTTAATTATATTGGAAAAATACATATTTTGTCAATAAAACTGTTAAAACAGTACTGTTAAAAAATTAAGGAGAGTCAATGTAATGGAAGCTACCCCGCCTGTCTGTTGTAGTTTGCCTCATTTAGACGCTTACTGTCGGCCCCAGATCCTTTCATCAATGTCCGTGTGTTTGTAAGACGTACTTTTTGAACAACCTCGCTTACCTGAAAATTACGACTGTTTAATACTGGAATATGTTTTGGTTTGAAAGATAGTATACTGAACTATGATGAACTGTCTTCCGGTTATAATCAGCTTAATGCATTATGGATGTTGTCGTCATGGTTGATACTATAAACAGCGCGGTGTCCGTTTTCAATTTTTGTTTCCTTATTCCAACAAAAGTAAGTTCTAAATACATACCTTGAGGCATATTCTTCCGCGTTGTTTGAATTTTCACTTCCGTTTGCAACTTGGCTTACACATTTCCAGATAGTACATAGGAGCAAAACAGGACATTAAATGGCATCGATTATATCGATTCTAATAGACACGAACTGATTTGGATCCGACTGGCACTTTCATGCAGTACTAGTGCTTAATCAGTATTAATGTCGAAATGACAAGTACACAGGTATTCCCATAGTTCTTTTGTAATCATAATCGTCAACGTTAAGAAGGTTATTAACAGACAGTAGACGACCATATAAACCAAGGCCAGGCTCATTACTTAAAGTTATTAACGGGTAAGGGTGAAAATAAAAGCTCCAATCCAAAAACTTAATATAGTTATTAGTACATTTATATATCTACGATAACCAACTTTATTACAATATATATATACACTACACACATTTACAATGATATTAACATATAAAAAGTCGAGTAAGTAGTATTGTTAAATTCATACAATAACTGACACCAAACATGAATATCTTTTGACCCCTTGCCTTAGATTATTAATACGTCTGTTAACCATGAATTGGGGGAATTGTTTGGTCTATGTGGGGTCATCTATAGAATGATATAATACAATTACCAACCTAGTTAGGTCCTAGTATTTGATTTTGTCAATAGTAATTGTAGCAGTATTTATATCGCGTTTTTTGATAAGTTATTTGTTTTGTGGTTCAGTATCAGAAATTCTTTTCTAATCGACCCTTTTAAACTGTTGATATTGTATTAAACACACCACAAGTACATATTACTCTCAAATGGGTTGACAAATGCCCAGCAAATGCCCAAAGACACATTTTGCGGCCACCCACGGTTGATCGACCAATTTGAACTGTTGGTATTGTACTAAACACACCACCAGTAACAAAAGAAAACACCTTCTCTCAAATAAATGGGTTGACAAATGCCCAGAAACACATTTTGCGGTCACCCACAACCACACTAAGAGATTACAGAACGTGGGCGGCGACTATCCTCCGTATGTTGCTAGCAGCAATACAGTGTCTGAGTGGGACTTAAAACCGGATTGGACACCCTTCACCTACTAAGACTGGGTGTTTTCACTATTCATGCAGCACATTATTTGTTCATGCATTAGGTATAACTCAATATATACACACCAAGATAGCCCACTACAAATATATATATAGCCCACTATATATATATATATATATATATATATATATATATATATATATATTCTAAACAGCAAAAAGAAAAACCCACCCCAAAAACGTCAGTACGATTTCAAAATCAGACAGGCACTTTAATCAAATCATTCTAGAAAACGACTTACTAAATGGATCAAAGCAATTTTTTGTGAACAGTATGTTGACACAGTAGTGATTAATTCATCCCAATTCCAAGACATTACGGGAAGGTTTAGAGCCTGTACACAGTCTATACATCAGTGTCTGGTGTGTCCACCGCGAAATGTCAATAACAGCAGCGTTGTTTCGATAACGTGCGAAATGTGGTATGGCGTGGGGTCTGAGAGCTTGATCCATGTAGCGCACTGCTGTGATGCCGCCTCCTCTCCCTGACGAAGATTTTGGAACACCACTGGACCCACTCTCTGGTTCATGCCGATTCCACTCCAAAACATTATGCTTGGACCTACCCATGAGTCTCGTTCCATGACACATTCGTCAGAATAACGCTGGCCACGTTGACGCCATATTCTGGTCCTGCCATCTGCAGTTGATACGCTATACCGACTCTCCTCTGTGAACAGAACAGTTCTCCATTGCCTGTGTCGCCAGTTCTGGTGTTGTTGGGCAAACTGTAGACGTTCACGTCGATGGCGAGGAGTGAGGATCGGTCGACGGTAAGGTCTACGGCAGTGGATGTTCTCTCTGGTGAGACGTCGGCGCACTGTATCGGTACTGATGGGTCTTCCGTGTGTTCCCACTGTCTGACGGTGCTGACTCAGATCCCTGTGTGAAGGGATTCTGCACGTGCTGTCGCACAACGTGGCGGTCTTGTCGCCTTGTGGTAACCCTTGGTCTACCAGTTCGGGGGCGATCATTCGTGGTGTTGGTGGCCCGAAAGCGTTGCTGAAGCCTGTAGATGGTCCGAACATTGACCTGGAAATGATTGGCAACGGCTTGGGCAGTGTGGCCAGCGTCGAGTCTTTCAAGCGCCTGGTTACTCTGAGCTGTTGTGAGTCGTGACATGCGGCTCACGTTGTAGTGTGAATGATTCAACCAGGTATGGGGGCGCATTTTATAGGGCTGGTCCCGGTGAACAGTACATGCAGCATGAGTTATATGAAAATCATGGAGAACACATTACATGCAGTACATGCAGCATGAGTTATATGAAAATCATGGAGAACACATTACCATCTCAGAAGTCAGGTTGCGTTTTGAGAACATTCCTGGGTTCAATTCAGTGTTTGGGAAGGAGTCTTATTGGCTTATTGCTCAGGTAAAGTTGAAGATGTGGTCACAAATATACAATAAAAACATTTGGCAAGTTTTATGCAATGCGTCTATTCAGAATAAAAGACCAACCTGACGTTTCTTTTGCTGCTTAGTATATTATTGAATACTTTTCAGAATACTGGTATTTTTCTAAGACAGGCTATTATTTTAAAGACGCTATATTATTAGTGGCGAAACGGAAAAATTTGATATAATATAAATATTTAATTTCTATTTGTACTTATATGAGGGTCTTAAATAATAACATATACAAACATTATCACCACATCAGATATGGAATTGTATACATCAAAATATCTATGTTTTACCTCATAGCTTTTTTCTGTCTTCAAATATTGAAATAAAATTTTATACAACCATTTGTTCGTTATATTAAATATCAAAGAGAGAATAACCCATACTAGAATTTGTTTACATTTTAAACAAGAAATATTTATAGCTAAGAATACCGGTTTTCACTTTGAAATTTATATAAAATAATAAGAGATAAGAGTTTTATTGATATCTTTTTTCTTTTAGGATATTTTTGTTAATTGTTTGTTGTCTTGTATTTAGTATTTCTATCAAAGGGACACGATCAAGTAGAGTAGTCCCAAAACCAAATTCACAACAAATTAACCATCATAATACATAATTTCATACACACCGCAAAATGACCTGAAGATACTTTTTGCAAATTCATTTTTTTTTTAAAAAGTTCACGCTGAATAAAATGAATAGATTGCTCTTTCGATTATGTTAATAGTGGAACCAAACCCTAACGACGTGTTAGTTGTCCACATTGTCTTATTTATTTCCAATCCAGTAAAGCAAATCCTATGGTTTGCACAGAAATGATTTCAGACAGTTTTCAGAAACACAGAAGGAACAAAGGTACCATTTTCAACATTCAAATTTTTAAAATGGATGGACTTGGTTGCGACCCCATTCCAGAAACCATCATATGATCGCGACCCCTCTAGGAACAAAATCATCTTTTACTATGAAACATCGTCATTATTTGTAATGAGAGATTAAAGAAACAAACCGTGAGCGTGAAAGAGGAAAGACGATTGCCAATGTGGCAAGAAGTGTACAGATCAGATTTTATGCTTTTCATGCCATTTTGTCAAAAGTTTCAGAGTAGTCAGCCGTGAAACACCATGGATTTAGGAAAATCGCTGACATTCCAAGTCAAAGATAACGTCCGATGAGGTACACTTTCTTGCATATTCGAATATTATCTCATTCATTTAGTTAAATGGATGGACCACCCGTTTCCACCAACTTGAAATATAATTGACATAATGTGTGTATTGATACAATAATAATCAGAAATACATTACAGAGAGAGAGAGAGAGAGAGAGAGAGAGAGGGGAGGGGGGTCTGTTCTCGCCCATATACAACCCAAACAATAAATAACAAATAATATGCATTAAGCCCGTCGCAACGCTTAGAATAAAAGAACTGGTGAGAATCGACGTGTTTATTACTCTAAGATCAACAATTACAACTTTCGGGTAACCTGTAACCGACTATCTAGTGAATCTACAATATAGCCGTCCTTGGCTATTTCGTTTTTCCAACGTCCAAGTCGCTTTAAACATCTCCCCGTTACATTTCATTGAGCCGCCATGGATAGACCTCCTAACCTAAGCGAATATATGCCAATATCGCCATCGACCTCTTCTTGTCCACATACCACTTTAAGACCTGAGATAAAGGTGAAATATATTTATTTCGCTACATTTCATTGAACTGGCTTTCTCAAAGCGAAGAAAAACAATTAAAACATAAAACAATATAGGCCAGGTCTCTCAATATTAAACAATCATTTGAATTATGATATTTTATACACAAATCAATTATCTATTGAGACGTTACTATCGATTTTCTGTTTTTGGATACACTATTATGTCTCTTGATATATTCCAAGGGGTTCTTCACATAATTATTTCCAGTTGGGCCCGGTTTGTTGCATATGGAATGGGCCCACTTAATTGAATAAATAGAATTCTGTATATCTGTCGATTAAACTCGCTAAATGTAATGCCACATGGATAGGTTGCGCATGAATGACCGTAATATTTTCCTTTTCAGCAAATTCTAACCATCGTTTTAAACCACTGTAAAAACTTTTTACAGTATTCTTTCTCTTAGATTCAACTATATGATGAGCTAAACTTCTTGTTAAGCTTTTAAAACTATCTGATGTTTAGCCACTTAACTGAGCATCTCTAACGTCTCGTGTGAGAGATTCCTATACGAAAATCGGAAACATAAACATTCCCTTTAGAAAAATCTCTTTGAGTCCTAACCACTGAATGGTGTGTTGTGGACACCACTGACTTTTACTCTCTGCTATGAGAAAACCACATTCTGTTAAATCAGATCTTATTAATATCGCTTACTATACGAGCCTAGGCAAATTCACTCCCCCCCGTGTCATCATTCAAGAACATGACTATGTTTAACCCCTTATTTCTCCAATTAGAAAATATGTATTCAGCTGTAGAAATTCCAAATGTAGAACGATAAGGATTGACAGAACTCATGACAGTGGATGAGTATCTTGAAATGGACAGCGACTTACCGGTTTGTGACGAGACCGAGAGAGAGAGAGAGAGAGAGAAAGAGAGAGAGAAATGGGGTTTAACGTCCACTCGACACAAACTAGGTCATTTTGGGACTAACATATGGTTCAATTTAATTTCCATAATTCGCTTGCGCGTAGGGGTCTTTAGCAGTCGGAGGAAACTGGAGGACCCGGAGAAAACCCACGAGCTGGACAGGCGACCCTACTCCTTGTCACGTACAACCAGGGATTCGAAACCACGCCAGTTGACTCAATGACAG